GGCAGGGGATTAGGTGGGGGAGGGGCAGGGGATTAGGTGGGGGAGGGGCTGGACGAAGGTGACAGTCCGGGTGGATGGGGGTGGACGTGGTCATTGTATGTGGGGTTGCTAGGGGTCATTGGCGGTAGGAGCCAATGTCAGTGAGATAGGGGCTAGGGGTCAGTGCTGGTAGGGGCTAGGGGTCAGTGCTGGTAGGGGCTAGGGGTCAGTGATGGTAGGGGCTAGGGGTCAGTGATGGTAGGGGCTAGGGGTCAGTGCTGGTAGGGGCTAGGGGTCAGTGATGGTAGGGGCTAGGGGTCAGTGCTGGTAGGGGCTAGGGGTCAGTGCTGAAGTTGGGGCTAGGGGTCAGTGCTGAAGTTGGGGCTAGGGGTCAGTGATGGTAGGGGCTAGGGGTCAGTGATGGTAGGGGCTAGGGGTCAGTGCTGGTAGGGGCTAGGGGTCAGTGCTGGTAGGGGCTAGGGGTCAGTGCTGAAGTTGGGGCTAGGGGTCAGTGCTGAAGTTGGGGCTAGGGGTCAGTGCTGAAGTTGGGACTAGGGGTCAGTGCTGAAGTTGGGGCTAGGGGTCAGTGCTGAAGTTGGGACTAGGGGTCAGTGATGGGAGGAGCTAGGGGTCAGTGCTGAAGTTGGGGCTAGGGGTCAGTGCTGAAGTTGGGACTAGGGGTCAGTGATGGGAGGAGCTAGGGGTCAGTGCTGAAGTTAGGACTAGGGGTCAGTGCTGAAGTTGGGGCTAGGGCAGGGGTCGGCAACCTGCGGCTCGCGAGCCGCATGCGGCTCTTTTGATATCAAGAAGCGGCTCTCCAGCTCCTTGAACAAATACTAATAATCTTAATAAAAAAATAAAATGTTTGAAATAAAAAAAAAATGTTAGTGGCTCTTTAAAACCAGGGAAATTTTGAAAATTGTAACTTTTGGCTCTTCAGCTTCAAAAGGTTGCCGACCCCTGGGCTAGGGGTCAGTGCTGGTAGGGGCTAGGGATCAGTGCAAAAGTTGGGGCTAGGGATCTGTAATTAGGTAGGTGATAACTTTTAACTAAAGATAATAGCATGCTGTTTGCTGTTAGAAAAACAGAGACGCGAGAAGGTATATATTGATTTGTTTACAATCATCAAAGCTATTTTTGTTAATTTTCTGCTTACATTTGCAGGGTCTTGTTTAAAACTCTGATAAACGATATAAAATTATTTAATAGCTAGACCATCGGGACAGTAGGGTGAACTTGTACTGACCCTGGTCTAGATGAGAGGGGTCGGGACACGACCCGGGTCTAGTTGAGAGGGGTCGGGACACGACCCTGTGTGAGAGGGGTCGGGACACGCCCCTCTAGATGAGAGGGGTCGGGACACGACCCGGGTCTAGTTGAGAGGGGTCGGGACACGCCCCTCTAGATGAGAGGGGTTGGGACACGACCCGGGTCTAGATGAGAGGGGTCGGGACACTACCCGGGTCTAGATGAGAGGGGTCGGGACACGCCCCTCTAGATGAGAGGGGTCGGGACACGCCCCTCTAGATGAGAGGGGTCGGGACACGCCCCTGGATCTAGATGAGAGGGCAAGAGATTTGGTGGGGAGGCTAGGAGTGAACACCAAGAAACTGTCAGACGACCGTTCATTGAGCAACCATCTTTAGCACCCTGAACATACAGATCAAACTAACAGCTAATTAATTAATCCTTGCCCGTCATATTTAACATACAAAAGTTTACATACAGTTACCTCATCGAATATTTCACATAAAGTTGGACCATCAAATATTTAATTTCACACAAACACCGTCACCATCTGCGCCCCTCCCCCAGCGGTCCATTATGTCAACCATTAGTCAGGCAGACGTCGAGGCCCGCGCTTTGTTGTGTCGTCTGCTGGTGATGAAATATTTAACGAACAATGAAAACAATACCGTCATGTTCCGGTGTGTGACTTTACAAGCACAACTAATCCAGGTTCAATGATGGTGTTAGTTTCACTAGAGCTGTTATATTTTTAAGTCCAAAAATTGGGTAAAAATGTTCATGTTGCTGTGGTTAAAATCTGTGAAAAATGTTTATGTTGCTGAGATTAAAATCTGTGAAAAATGTTTATGTTGCTGAGATTAAAAGATCTGAAATATATTCATGTTGATGTGGTTAAAAGCTGTGAAAAATGTTCATGTTGCTGTGGACAGTGATTAGTAGGATCCCACAAAGTGTGTTGTGTTCACTGATGTGGCCAGTGCAGAGGCGTAGCGAAGGGGGGGGGGGGGGCAGGGGGGTACATATGTCCCCGGGCGCCGACCTTAGGGGGCGCCAAAATGGGTTGGAAAAACAAATTAAAATATTATTTTAGCTGCATTTTTGCTTTATAAATATAATAAAAATATATGAGGGGGGTGCAAATCGAAAGTTTGAGGGGGGGGGGGGGTGCAAATCGAAAGTTCGAGGGTGGGTGCAAATCGAAAATTGAAAGGTTGATTCCGAGGGGGGCGCCAAATTGAAAGTTTGTCCCCGGGTGCCGGGAAGGGTCGCTACGCCTCTGGGCCAGTGGTTCTCACACAGTTGTACACACACAGTTTGGGTGTGGGGGGGGGGGGGCGGGAGTAGTGAGGTGAGTGAGGGGAGACACATCGGAAACCTCCGCACACGAGAATACTGCATGTTGACATAAGTCTGTAAGGGGTGGGTGGGGGGGGGGGGGGGGGTGGGGATAAAACTACAGCTCCACCACACATACAAACCGTTATAATCAATCATTTTGACGTAGCAATACCACTCAACTAGCAATGTACTTACACACGCCACCATACACCACACAATCAGACACCACATAATTACACCACAGTAGCGTACCACCAAACACCATCACACATAATACACGAACACATGTCACAGGACCACACACACCACCACACACAACACACCACGCCACATCACACCACCACACCACGCACCAAACAACGCCACAACTACCACGCTAACCACAACAAAGACGTCACCACGCCATACGCTTTCTCAATCAACGGTAAAAAAAAATGCGGGAAATTCTATTCTTCCAGGTTCTTAGACAAGGGAGATCAATCTAAAGGGGAAAAACAAAGCTGAAAGGTAATTCAATTCCTGTACGACTTAAGAGATTGATACGGGGAGGAGGGGGGGGGGGGAGGATATGAAAAACCAACAGAGAAGATTATCCGACATTGGCTTAGCATTTTCTTTCAAAACAAGAACTGCATTATTTATCCTGAGTACTTTCTGCGCTGGGCATACCGAATGCAAAATGGTGTGCTGTTTGTATTGTTTTACACTCAAAGTATTAACAAAAGATTTTTTTTAAAAATGTTGTTTTAGAAAAAGTTGGAAAGATTAAGAAAAAGATAGTGAGGGGGCCGGGGTGAAAGAGATTGAGTTCCAAAAATAGCCGAATGCTCAGAGAAAATTAATTAAAGGACATCAGGCAATTGAATCCTTCCATCATTTTGTTGACATGGATAAAATTCGTTTTTTAAATATATTTTTGACTTCATAGCGGCCGTAAAAATAATAAAAAATAAAAACTCAGGCCTAAAAATAATTCAGAAATTTAATATTTTTAAAATCAATGATACACAATCAGAGAACTTGAAAATAATTTGTTGAGTTTAAGGCTACATTTCTATTTTCATCAAGCCTAAGTTATAAAGTTATAACCCTATGTTTTACTTTCATAAGACAAACCAAACGTTGATTGGCTGTACAGGAATTCCGTGATCGATAGATATTTGTTTACAAAATTTTGCAGATAAAGTTTTTAAATAACATAATGCTATTTTAAACCACATGACCTAGATCTAGTACTGCCATTTTGTTTACATTTTGTATAATGAAATGTATGCTAGCAGTGTTTCTTCCAGACTTTTTTCTCCGGGGGGGGGCACTTGAAATCTTCGGGGGGGGCGGTAAACTTTCTTCGGGGGGGCGGACACTGCTAAAAGTATATATTTTCTATATAAATTATATAAATTTCACTTCGTTCGGGGGGGCGGTAAAAATTTTTCGGGGGGGCTTCGCCCCCCCGAAGAGATGCCTGGAAGAAACTCTGTATGCTAGCCTACCTAATGTCATTGTTTATGTCCCTATTACCACGTAAAACCAAATTGCTTTTTCCTTTTTTAAAAATTCTGTTGAATTACCGAAAATACTAAAACGTCAAATACATCCATTCTATTTTAAAACCGAAAAAAACACGTCACGTTTAATCTAAACACAGAGGAAGTAGAGTTTATGCATTCGTCTTGGCTGAGTTAGGTGGGGGGGGGCGGTACACTTTCTTTGGGGGGAGGGGGGTCGAGCTCCCCGAAGAGATGCCTGGAAGAAACTCTGTCTGGGATAGACTTACCGACCAGGTTCGAAACCAAACCCTGTAGATGTAAACCTCACGACTCACATCTTGACCACCTCGCTTCGTTAAACACCATAGTTTTAAGCCCTCTATTGAAACAACCTAAAGTTAATTAGATTATGCTCTAATTAGATATATGTCAGCACTTTGCAATGTATCGTGAGTAGCTTTTATGTGTTAAGGGGTGGAGGGAGAGAGACCAACGTCCGAATTAAATGATGTCAATTTTTTTCCAAGGGAAGCAACAACCTTTAAAGCAAGGTCGGGAAAATTTCTTCGATTACCTCCCCGTAATAGTTACCACAGGTTCTATTATAAGGCATACACAAATGTGATTCATAAATAAAAAGAACAACAATCTTTTCAGAGAATCTCTGATGACGAAGTATATGGGGAAGATGAAGTAGAGTTCATCTGTTTCTCTTCTGAACACGGCATATGAAAAAAAATGTGGTCAGCCCTAAGCCCACATGTGGTTAGCCGTAAGCGCAACTGCCCTCATTAATTGATCATTTCAATATCAAATGTTGTTTTTATTCCTATGTGGTCTGTTACCATACATCAGACACATACACTGCATACATCAGACACATACACTGCATACATCAGACACATACACTGCAATAGCAAATAAGAGCGAAACACTGCTTGGTACAATGGTTGAGGTTTTAATGGTAGCCAATAATGACATGTAAAACTACTTTAAGTGTGGTAGCAAGTCTTTCAACTTTACAACAGCATACTGATGGGGGACAACAACCTTCTCATGTGAGGCCTCAGGCTACACCCACAGGCCTAGGTCATGATAGGCCTCAGGCTACACCTGTAGGCCTAGGTCATGTTAGGCCTCAGGCTACACCCGCAGGCCTAAGTCATGTTAGGCCTCAGGTTACACCCTGCCAACACAGAGACTGTAGACATCCATCAATCCTACACTATGATACACATCTACTTAACGTGGTGTCCTTACAATGACAACATGTACTACTGTTTAACACAAGTAATAACATTGATATTTAATGTACTGATTACACAGAAATGTGTACAAAACAGCTGGATTTTGTAAAGTAAAATTGCCATGGTATGTTACATATGGCAGCAAAAAGGGATAATAATATTATTAATAGTTCGCACAAACAAATAAAAAATTATTGAAACCATCACTGTAGAAAAGTTGTAGAAATAAAATAAATGTAATCATTTTAAATTTATCCCTTGTTTTAAAAAACACCACTCCCCCCCCCCGCCACCTCCCCCCACTTACATAGGGCAGTTGTTTCATGCAGATGATGATCAAAATAAAAATCACTTAACAGGGTGAGCCTGATCTAATGTTATTTAAGTAGTAGCTATCTCCACCACTAGACCAAGAAAAGTGCACTATCTCAGGATCTGACATTGACAAAATGATACCAAAAGGAAATATTAAAAAAACATTTTGTAACTTCAACAATAAAAGCAAGGCACATGGGTAATCCACAACAACAAGATGGGTGATGGATACTTTATCCAATTCATTTGATCAGTTTAAACAACAAATTTAAGGATAAAAACATCGCAAGCATCATCGGTATTTTTTGATCCATAAGAAATAAAATGGGTATTTCCTTAGAAAAGAAAGCCGTCTGCTAATTTTTAAGAAAAGCCGTCTGATATTTCTTACACTGAAATTTGTTCCAGCTAAAAGAAAAATGAAGGGAGAAAATCAAGTGAGACCAGGATCACAGAAGAGAAATGAGCAAAAGTTGGATGAGATTTTTTCGTGAAACAAAACAACAGACAAAATTAAAGGGATCACATGCCACTCAATGAAAATATTTTCAACAGCTTCAGCAAAAATATCAGGTAAATAAAAATCTTCACCAGAGACTTTTTAATGCCACAGGAAAAAAAACATTACAACCAGCACAAATGAGTAAATGAAAGTTTGACACTCCCATAGTTGAAACCAACCACAACCCAATAAAATATAATTAGCTTACAGCTTAACTAGGTTTTTTCAAATAAAGCAATGCTTTGGGACAAATATTTTTTGGTGGTAAAGTGTTAACACTTTATCCATCATTAAGCTAAGTGCAACTTAATAGTGAATTAGAAAAACAAATTATAAATGTTGTTAGTAGCACGACCTATAGTTTAAATTTTATACAATCTACAAACTGTTAAACACAAAATAAATTTTATATAATCTACAAACTATTTAACACAAAATATATTCTATACAATTTAAAATCTATTTAACATAAAAATAAATTTTATACAATCGACGAACTATTTAACACAAAAATTAATTGTATACAATCTAAAAACTATTTAACACAAAAATCAATTGTATACAATTGACACACTATTTTACATCAAAACAAAAAAAAATTAATTACAGAGAAAAAAAATGTTAGTTGAGATTCAAACCAAAATTAAAAAAACAAAACACAATAAAAATCTTCAACAGTGAGTTCAGTTAACGAATTCATCAGATTAGATCTTTCACAAATCAAACAATAAGCTAGTGTGATCTAACTACTAGGATAAATTAGACAAACAATAAGCTAGTGTGGTCTAACTACTAGGATAAATTAGACAAACAATAAGCTAGTGTCATCTAACTACTAGGATAAATTAGACAAGGCTATTAGAGGAGATTTGTTAATGAGCTAACTATATGAGTAGGACAGGAACAGATGTTGTTATGTGCTAAACACAAGGCAGATAAGAACGACAAAAATGAAACTTAGTGGTGAATACATCAGGGTTATTGGTGCTACAGGACTTACACTAATTGATATGTCAACAGGCAAATAAATAAATTAAAGTCATGGATAAGGATTTTAGTTGGCCTTACATCCAGTGGATATTGGTTCCAGTTTGCCTTACATCCAGTAAGATAAATGACATTGTTTTAACATTATATTGAGTTACATGCTAGGTGCTGTACACATTTCAAGAATGATGCCAATGTTAGTAGTACAAACATTTCATGCAAGTTTAACCCTCCACTCACCCTCCCCACCTCAGATAAACACAAAGTACAAGTCCACAATTGATTTCAATAATAAATTTTTTAAGTTCATTGTTTTAAAACAAACACTAATGGAAATTTTAAAAAGAAAATGTATGGTGACATTTTATAAAAGGAAGTTTTTAAACTTCAATGAAATAAAAGATGTTTAGAAAGTATTTTTGTTTTCATTTATAAATTTTGTAAATGCAATTTTTAAAAACTATTTTTATATCTCTGTTTCTGCATCTTCAACAATCTCATAATCCAACATCTGTGAAAAAATGGATTGGTCTTTAGTCGCCCCCTGAAATCTGGCGTAGACTTTAGCCACCCCGGGGATGGGGCCTGTGTTGATCTGCCCCTCCCAAGCACAGCCCACCTTGTGCTTGAGGTGGTGCCAGATCTCGTTGATGACCACAAAGACCTCCAGCGCCTGCGGGATGTCCATGCGGAACATGACCCTCTTGTCCGTGTTGAGGTCCCCAGTCAGAGGCTCGTACAGAGCACAACGATGCCACTTCTGGTACGTCTTGGGGAACATGGCCACCGTGGGGCTCGGCTCTTGGCAGATGATCAGGTAACGGAAGGCGCAGTCTAAGGACTGGGACTCCCCAGTCAGGTCTGCTGCGTACAGGGAGAAGATGTAGAAGCCGGCTTTATGGCAGCGGATCAGATAATTAGCACCAGCGTCATTACGAGAGCGAAGAAAAACATATCGGTCAATGTCCGTGATGGAGCCATCATTGACGTCAAAGTATTGGAATGTGTGGGTCAAGCGGATGTCTCGACTCAACAGGAAGTTTATCTCAATGAAGTCGTTGTTACAGACGACCAGAGGGTCGATGTTAGAGTCTGCTGTGATGCCAAGGTTTTCCATGACAGGCGTGGGGCCGAAGAATGGCACAGGGGGGTACGGGGGTGACGGTCGGCCTTTCATGTTGGTACACTGAAGCAGGAAGGTGCAGGCGCTCTCCAAACATTCAGACTTCCAGTAGTCTCCCGTGTAGATGGAGAAGTAGTAGAGTCCTGGGGCGGGCAGCGCTATGGTGAAGATGGCCTCGTTTTTGACAAACCTCAGCAGGGTTCTACCCTCCAGTTGCTTCGGTTCACTCGGCTGACGGTTAACCGGTTCCAGCATTGAACCGAATCCCAGAACTTTTGGTGTCAGAAGTCGAATTTCCACCATGCCGGTGTCAGTGGTGACCGTGGCGCCGTAGTTGGAATAAAACCTGAGGCCGTAGTTGAAGAAGGGAGATTTGACCACAGGCAGATTCAAGAATTCTGAGAAGGGGAGGGGAATCTCCAGGAGCTGCCAGTAGGGGTCGTCAGGGTAGTGCTGGTAGATGTGGTCCTCGGGGTCAGTCAGGAAGTAGAACTCGTCATACCTGGGAGGTAGAAAATTTAGTTAACTCTAGCTTTGTAGAACTCGTCGTACCTGGGAGGTAGAAAATTTAGTTAACTCTAGTTTTGTAGAACTCGTCGTACCTGGGAGGTAGAAAATTTAGTTAACTCTAGTTTTGTAGAACTCGTCGTACCTGGGAGGTAGAAAATTTAGTTAACTCTAGTTTTGTAGAACTCGTCGTACCTGGGAGGTAGAAAATTTAGTTAACTCTAGCTTTGTAGAACTCGTCGTACCTGGGAGGTAGAAAATTTAGTTAACTCTAGTTTTGTAGAACTCGTCATACCTGGGAGGTAGAAAATTTAGTTAACTCTAGTTTTGTAGAACTCGTCGTACCTGGGAGGTAGAAAATTTAGTTAACTCTAGTTTTGTAGAACTCGTCGTACCTGGGAGGTAGAAAATTTAGTTAACTCTAGTTTTGTAGAACTCGTCATACCTGGGAGGTAGAAAATTTAGTTACATTCTAGTTTTGTAGAGCTCGTCGTACCTGGGAGGTAGAAAATTTAGTTAACTCTAGTTTTGTAGAGCTCGTCGTACCTGGGAGGTAGAAAATTTAGTTAACTCTAGTTTTGTAGAACTCGTCGTACCTGGGAGGTAGAAAATTTAGTTACGTTCTAGTTTTGTAGCATTTATAATTTGTAGTTAAAATCTGTATCATTTAGCTGAGTGAGTTCTTCAATATCTTTCTACAAGCAAGAGTAAATTGTAATATTTCAAATTCCAAAGTAAATAGATATAGATTTTAAACTTAAATTTTATTTCACAAATTTGTAATCAAACAGCTTCAGTGTAGAGAGAGGAGCTTGAATGTTACATCTGGTGTAGAGGGAACTCACTTTACCTCTACAGGGAACTCAATTTATATTTAGAAAGAACTTACTTGATCTCTAAAAGGAACTTACCCCTAGAAGGAACGTACATGACCTCTAGAAGGAACTTACTTGACCTCTAGAAGGAACTTACTTGACCTCAATATGAAACCTACTTGACCTCAATAGGGAACTTACTTGACCTCTAGAAGGAACTTACTTGATTTCTAGAAGGAACTTACTTGACCTCTAGAAGGAACTTACTTGACCTCTAGAAGGAACTTACTTGACCTCAATAGGGAACCTACTTGACCTCAATAGGGAACCTACTTGACCTCAATAGGGAACTTACTTGACCTCAATAGGGAACTTACTTGACCTCTAGAAGGAACTTACTTGATTTCTAGAAGGAACTTACTTGACCTCTAGAAGGAACTTACTTGACCTCTAGAAGGAACTTACATGACCTCTAGAAGGAACTTACTTGACCTCAATAGGGAACCTACTTGACCTCAATAGGGAACTTACTTGACCTCTAGAAGGAACTTACTTGACCTCTAGAAGGAACTTACATGACCTCTAGAAGGAACTTACATGACCTCTAGAACCAACTTACTTGTGGTACATCTGGGGGAGATTGTCCTTGTGTCCAGTCACATGTCTGGCTGCCCAGGTACAGTTGACCAATCGCCAGCTGCCGTCTATGTTGACCACAGTCCAAGAGTTCCGGAACGTCTGACCATCCATCCTCATGCCAGGCTTGTAGCCCGCCCCCTTGGAGTAGCCTAGAACTATCTCACAGTGCAGGCCGGCGTAGCTGAAAAATACATCCAGATTAGAGAAAAGCCATTCTAAGAGGCAGGGAACAATGGACTTGTAACTTTTAGGTATCAGGTTTCAAGTAAACCTTGAGAGAGGAAAAATAATTTAAATTGGTTATAGTCATATCCAGGGCAAATGATCGGTGTATTAACCACGGACATTGACCTGTGGTCATATCCAGTAACTACAGACCTGTAGTCTTATACATAGACAACTGATCATGTCCGTGCTATAGACTGGACATGGGTCAAGCTTGTGACAGCCAATGAAAGAACGCTGTGAACTCACCTGCAGAGCTTCTTGTACAGCTGGTGATATGTCTCCTTCCCACTCTTGACCCCCTTCAGCAGCCTGTCTATGGCGTGAGGTCTGACGATCTCGTTCACAGACTGTTTGTTGATGTCTTTGGCAATCACCCATCTGAACAGGACTCTATGGAAACAATAAATGTGGCAATCACCCAAACAGGACTCTATGGAAACAATAAATGTGGCAATCACCCATCTGAACAGGACTCTAAGGAAACAATAAATGTGGCAATCACCCAAACAGGACTCTATGGAAACAACAAATGTGGCAATCACCCATCTGAACAGGACTCTATGGAAACAATAAATGTGGCAATCACCCATCTGAACAGGACTCTATGGAAACAATAAATGTGGCAATCACCCATCTGAACAGGACTCTATGGAAACAATAAATGTGGCAATCACCCAAACAGGACTCTATGGAAACAATAAATGTGGCAATCACCCAAACAGGACTCTATGGAAACAATAAATGTGGCAATCACCCAAACAGGACTTTATGGAAACAATAAATGTGGCAATCACCCAAACAGGACTCTATGGAAACAATAAATGTGGCAATCACCCAAACAGGACTCTATGGAAACAAGAAATGTGGCAATCACCCAAACAGGACTCTATGGAAACAATAAATGTGGCAATCACCCAAACAGGACTCTATGGAAACAATAAATGTGGCAATCACCCATCTGAACAGGACTCTATGGAAACAAGAAATGTGGCAATCACCCAAACAGGACTCTATGGAAACAAGAAATGTGGCAATCACCCAAACAGGACTCTATGGAAACAATAAATGTGGCAATCACCCAAACAGGACTCTATGGAAACAATAAATGTGGCAATCACCCATCTGAACAGGACTCTATGGAAACAAGAAATGTGGCAATCACCCAAACAGGACTCTATGGAAACAAGAAACCAGTCATGGTTGAACAAGTTCAGCACATGACGCAGATATCTTAAGGGTCAGCTGTACAAAATTGTGGCTAAATAGCCAGGGCCTTAATGACTAACACATAGATGAGTGGTAGAACACATGAATGCTAACCCAATAGTTTTGATTTTACCCCCCCCCCCCCCCCCAGCTGATGGGTACCTGACTCAATTAGGGAGGTGGCTGCACACAAAACTGTCCTCACTACCCTTTCCATTGAAGATTATCTTTACTATTTACTTTTACAGCTATGGACACATGCCACAAAATAGATGTATTTTTCAAGCTCTAACTACTGATGAAATGAATTACCTAGTTCTAGCTCTAATTAGTGGTTGATGAGATTAAATACCTGGCTCTAGCTCTAATTACTGCTTGATTAGATTAATTACCTGGCTCTAGCTCTAATTACTGATTGATTCGATCAATTACCTGGCTCTAGTTCTAATTAGTGGTTGGTTAGATTAATTACCTGGCTGTAGCTCTAATTAGTGGTTGATTAGATTAATTACCTGGCTCTAGATCTAATTACTGCTTGATTAGATTAATTTCTTGGCTCTAGCTCTAATTAATAATTGATTCAATTAATTACCTGGCTTTCTCTAGCTCTAATTACTGATTGATTAATTACTTGGCTCTAGCTCTAATTACTGAGATTAATTACCTAGCTTTCTCTAGTTCAGACTTGCAGGTTCTAGTGAGGTCACGCACTAGATCAGTCATGGTGCCATAGTCTTTGTTAGCAAGCTGCAAGAAATGACAACATTGGTTTAGGGGTTTAAATCCTTACTTTCAGATGGCAGAATAGTTTACTAGATGAACAAATCCTTAGACAATAAGACATGTTATCAAAAGTTAGCTAATAACTTTTTTCTTCTAAATGTTTCTTTGGTTCCTTAAAGTTCTAAGCTTCCCAAATGTTATATAAAACTGTCAGACTTCTGGTTAACTTTTGGTTAACTTTTGAAAAGTTTGAATATTCAAAACTTTAAATTATAATAAACACACTGAATTCAAATTCTTGACTTTCATTGGGTGTGGGCTAGGTTTCTTAAAGTTAGAGTAGCATTGATAAATCATAAGCTAGTGGACATTTAAAAATTTCACAGCCATCACTGGCATGGGAGGATATCCCATCATGGGATATTGGCAATATGGGGGATAGGATAGGGTGGGGGAGGGGGTGTTGACAAGAAATTGAAGGGCTGGGGTGTTGAAAAAACATGGGGGGGGGTTGATAGGACACTAGGGGGAGGTGCTGGGGTGTTGACAAGACAGGGAGGTGCTAGGGTGTTGATAAGACAGGGAGGTGCTAGGGTGTTGACAAGACAGGGAGGTGCTAGGGTGTTGACAAGACAGGGAGGTGCTAGGGTGTTGACAAGACAGGGAGGTGCTAGGGTGTTGACAAGACAGGGAGGTGCTAGGGTGTTGACAAGACAGGGAGGTGCTAGGGTGTTGACAAGACAGAGGGGTGCTAGGGTGTTGACAAGACAGAGGGGTGCTAGGGTGTTGACAAGACAGGGAGGTGCTAGGGTGTTGACAAGACAGGGAGGTGCTAGGGTGTTGACAAGACAGAGGGGTGCTAGGGTGTTGACAAGACAGAGGGGTGCTAGGGTGTTGACAAGACAGAGGGGTGCTAGGGTGTTGACAAGACAGGGAGGTGCTAGGGTGTTGACAAAACAGAGGGGTGCTAGGGTGTTGACAAGACAGAGGGGTGCTAGGGTGTTGACAAGACAGAGGGGTGCTAGGGTGTTGACAAGACAGGGAGGTGCTAGGGTGTTGACAAGACAGAGGGGTGCTAGGGTGTTGACAAGACAGAGGGGTGCTAGGGTGTTGACAAAACAGAGGGGTGCTAGGGTGTTGACAAGACAGAGGGGTGCTAGGGTGTTGACAAGACAGAGTGGTGCTAGGGTGTTGACAAAACAGAGGGGTGCTAGGGTGTTGACAAGACAGAGGGGTGCTAGGGTGTTGACAAGACAGAGGGGTGCTAGGGTGTTGACAAGACAGAGGGGTGCTAGGGTGTTGACAAGACAGAGGGGTGCTAGGGTGTTGACAAGACAGGGAGGTGCTAGGGTGTTGACAAGACAGAGGGGTGCTAGGGTGTTGACAGAGGGGTGCTAGGGTGTTGACAAGACAGGGAGGTGCTAGGGTGTTGACAAGACAGAGGGGTGCTAGGGTGTTGACAAGACAGAGGGGTGCTAGGGTGTTGACAAGACAGAGGGGTGCTAGGGTGTTGACAGAGGGGTGCTAGGGTGTTGACAAGACAGAGGGGTGCTAGGGTGTTGACAAGACAGAGGGGTGCTAGGGTGTTGACAAGACAGAGGGGTGCTAGGGTGTTGACAAGACAGAGGGGTGCTAGGGTGTTGACAAGACAGAGGGGTGCTAGGGTGTTGACAAGACAGAGGGGTGCTAGGGTGTTGACAGAGGGGTGCTAGGGTGTTGACAAGACAGAGGGGTGCTAGGGTGTTGACAAGACAGGGGGGTGCTAGGGTGTTGACAAGACAGAGGGGTGCTAGGGTGTTGACTCACATCAATGGCCCTGAGGTCTAAAGCCTCAAAGACTGCTGGAGTTTTGTAGAGGGAACTTTTCTTGCCCTCTGGGGGCTCAGGCGGTGGCTTCATGGAGTGGTCAAACAGGCACATCCTGTCCATCTCCCTGTCCTTCTCACCTATCAACATCATCATCTCCTGGCAGTGTCTGCAGGGGAGACAACATGACATGACTTGATGCAAGGGAGTTAAAAAAAAGAAGATAAGGGGAAGTAACAAATGATTTACATAAAAAAAACATTGACACGAGGTATAATTATTAGTATTTTAATTTTATGCAGTTACTATTTAAGTATAATAATATAATAAAATCAAACTTTCAAGGTAGTGTTACCTGTCTATCATTTTGCCATTTCGTGTTTTTTCTTCCGTGGCAATTTTTTCAGTGACACTTTTAAGTCTTTCTTCCTTCAGCTAAAATATATAAGAGATAACTTTAACTGACATTAATCAAATCATTTGGTCCACGATGGTAAACATCCTAATATTGGTTTTAAACTAACACAATCCCTTTCATCACACCTTCCCTGTCCCCACTCCTCACGCCTATCCACCCCTACCCCATACTCAACAATCCCACAATCTATAAACATTGTAAAGACATGAATCACTGAACCAGAACCCTCCCCCCCCCCCCATTTCAATGATTTTACCCCCATGCCTCTAGCTCGACTTTTTTGATATGTATATATTTGTAAATCAATCTTCAATCTGTTTTTGTAATAACCTTTGGAGCTTATTTAATCCCTTATGAGAACACTGCAAACCACTTTGTTTAAAATGATGGAAATGAGTTTGATGTTGTTTTATGAGAACACTGCAAACCACTTTGTTTAAAATGGTGGAAATTGAGTTTGATGTTGTTTTACTTGTTTTATAATAAAAATAAAACTATTTACAAAGTCTTAAACTTCTAAATTAGAAAACACAGTCACGGAATAAGATCTTTAAATTTTTTAAACATTCTAACTCTCAGAATGGACGAAACAGAATGAATGTGTTATGTGTAAATAAACGATTAAAAGAAGACGAACATTCCTGAAGTGTTCCTCAATCCTGTCCCTCTCGTCCACCAAACTCCGAGGGACGCTGTTGATGGACAGATTCTCCAGGGATGACAGCAGATCATCCGCAGCTTTCTCTTTCTCGTTCTCCACAGCGTCATCCAACCTCTTCAACTCTTTCTCTCTCTCCTCCAGGAGAAACCTGCAACCACGGACAAAACAAGTTTGTACAACCAGGTACTTCAAAATTTGGGTTGTACAACCAGGGACAAATCCAGCTTGTACAACCAGGGACAAATCCAGTTTGTACAACCAGGTACTTCAAAATTTGGGTTGTACAACCAGGGACAAATCCAGTTTGTACAACCAGGGACAAATCCAGTTTGTGCAACCAGGGACAAATCCAGTTTGTGCAACCACGGACAAATCCAGTTTGTACAACCAGGTACTTCAAAATTTGGGTTGTACAACCAGGGACAAATCCAGTTTGTACAACCAGGGACAAATCCAGTTTGTAAAACCAGGTACTTCAAAATTTGGGTTGTACAACCAAGGACAAATCCAGTTTGTACAACCAGGGACAAATCCAGTTTGTACAACCAGGGACAAATCCAGTTTGTGCAACCAGGGACAAATCCAGTTTGTGCAACCAGGGACAAATCCAGTTTGTGCAACCAGGGACTTCAAACTTTGGGTTGTACAACCAGGGACTTCAAACTTTGGGGTGCAAACAAGAACAAAAAAAAGACCTGAAACCTTGGTCTGACTACTAAGCCCAGCATGAGATAAATAATATGCTAAAGGTGGATTGGAAATGTTTTTGTTTAAAGTTTTACCGGAGTAGTCTCTCCTCCTCCTCCCTGTGTCTCTGCTCCAGCATAAGTTGGCCATCAAAGATTCCAGCATTTTCAAAGTCCTGCAGGAACATTTCGATTGGTTAAAATATGTCACATGTAAGGTAAATATAGAAATGTGTACTTGTATCAACAGAAAATTTTTATCAAAGACTGGCAGAAGTTTGTACTTACATCGTAGCTAACTAGTACAGACTTGGGATGGGGGGAGGGTTTGGCTGGTTGCTGGCGCTGCTGCTGATACTGGTTTGGACGATAATTCTCGTAGGCTGGAACAGGAAATAAAAACTCACTGTTTGTTTACAGTAGATAGTTGATCAATGGTAGGTTTTAGGTGTACATGCAGTGTTTAAACAAAACTGTGCAGTAGTTTTGAACCCACTGCAAAGTCATTTGTAGAAAACTAAGACTTTTTTAAGACGTTCTAAACTCTGTGCACACAAAATACCAGTGCACACTACAATTTCCCCTTAGAGGAAATGTTGTATACATGCAAGGCAGATGTTGTATACATGAATTGTATACATGCAAGACAGATGTTGTATACATGGATTTTGTACATGTAAGGCAGATGTGTACATGAATTGTGTACATGCAAGATAGACGTTGTGTATATGAATTGTGTAAATGCAAGCCAGACGAGACATTGTACTTTTCTAATGTAACCAAACAAACCCTAGTAGACTTACTTTGGTCCATGGATGCATTAGGTGAAGACTGGGTCGTCCATGCCGACGTGTCATTCAGGTTGCCTGGGGTCAGGCTGGCCAAACTGTCCCCACCAGGACTGGGACCAGGACCTTTAATGGGCTGGGGCTTGACAGGTGTGGCAGGAAGTGGGCGTGTCGCTGTGCCTGTCACCTGCAGGTAGAAAGATCTAGATGAGCATCACATATAGGTACACATACAGGTACATATACAGGTACACATACACATATCTAGATGAGCATCACATACAGGTACATATACAGGTACACATACACATATCTAGATGAGCATCACATACAGGTACACATTTAGGTACACATACAGGTACACATACAGGTACACATACAGGTACACATACAAATATCTAGATGAGCATCACATACAGGTACACATACAGGTACACACACATATATAGACGAGCATCACATACAGGTACACATTTAGGTACACATACAGGTACACATACAGGTACACATACAGGTACACATACAGGTACACACACATATATAGACGAGCATCACATACAGGTACACATTTAGGTACACATACAGGTACACATACAGGTACACATACAGGTACACATACAGGTACACATACAGTTACACATACAGGTACACATACAGGTACACATACAGGTACACATACAGGTACACATACAGGTACACATACAGGTACACATACAGGTACACATACAGGTACACATACAGGTACACATACAGGTACACATACAGGTACACATACAAATATCTAGATGAGCATCACATATAGGTACACACACAAATATCTTAATAAGTAAAAGCATTATGGCTACACAGAACACAGCTATATAGGCTACCAACACACATATCTGAATGAGCACACTGATAGCACTATGGACTTCCCACACACATATCTGATGGCACTCCCCACACACATATCTGATGGCACTACCCACAAAACATCCCCACAGCACTGAACCACTGAACTCAAATAGAGCGGGTTGTTGTTGACTGGAAGTATCCCATTACATAGCAGGTTCATCCATCCATCGATCTATCCACGGCTACAAGGTGTGCAGACAGCAAGCTAATGTTGAACCACCAGCAACTAGTTATACGCCAACAACTGGCTTCAACTTCACACCGTCACGCTTGACTAACGTCAGAAGCAACAGAGCTGAAAGCTTGCTTTAACTTGGTCCGCATCAATCGTTCCATCTCGCATTCCGCGGCCAGCAACCGTCATTCGACTACAACAGACCTAACTCAGTTGTTTCCAAACAGGTAGTTGAACCAGGTAGTTTTTTGTTTGTTTTTTAATTTATATATGTATTGGTATCTTTTTTTTTAAAGTTTGTTTTATAAAATAAAATATTGCTTATGGCAAAATTTCGGACTTCAGCAGGTAAGCAAATGGAAAGAAATTTGCTTAGTCTGTTTTTTATTATGAATAAGTTCAGTTGATAGCTTAGTTCAGGAATATGGATAGAAACCTAGTCTAGTGCTTAATGCTACAAACAAAAGTAGGGGTGGGAGGGGGATATTTGACACGTAAACTAATTGTCAACCTAAAACCAGACAGTTTTGTTCCTATCTAAAGTTGCCTAGTTTTGAAGAAAAAAATACCTCGTCGATCACAACACAGATCATAGCTCTTGGACAAATCCAAAACTTGGACGGGCAAGGAATGGCTAACTCGATGTGTACTAACGCTGGCTAACTCGAGGTGTACTAACGCTGGCTAACTCGAGGTGTACTAACACTGGCTAACTAGCACCACTAACACATCCTAACTCGGCATGTGAGGCTACCTGTGTGAGGCTACCTTTGTTTGTGTGCAGCTACCTGTGTGTGCAGCTACCTGTACAGCCCTACCAGTCGGGCACTGTGACAGCACGCGAGACCGTCTAACGGCAACACCGACCGGCTAATCTAACCGGCTAATGACCACCTGCCCGTTATCAGGTCAGGCCAGTGGTCAGCGTTATGTTGACTCGGTTACTGAACATTCGACTACAGTGAGATCGGTCTTTAAAGACGCGATGACTACTAGATTTTGTGCTAAGGTGTCATTTGGTTCGGGTAAAGTTTCGTCTCAAAGCGGTAGATCTAGACTGCTCCAGTGTGTGATTGGTGTAAAACAAAACTCGACTGTAGCCTTTAGCCGAGTTGTTGATAACCGGGTTCTAGAAGTTATCGCGCGGTTGTGGTCCTTGACCTCTGTAGCACACTCCCCCCCCCCCCCCTCCCTACCAGCCGCCTAGACAATGGAAGATTGTAGAGAGCTGATCTCTCCCCCCCCCCCCCCCCCCTATCAATTACAGAAGAAATTCAAACTTCCTGTAGGATGGCCTCAGATAACTGTGACCTCTGACCCCGCTCGCAGGCTGTCTACAATCAGTCAAAGTTGTGGGTTAATAACAGAGTGAGGAAAACTATCCCATAATTTCTCAGTGTTACCCACTACTGGAGTCAAGAAAACTATCCCATAATTTCACTATGGAGTCTGATGTGGCATGCTCAGCTTTATTGAGTACCTAGAGCGTGTTTATCTGACCCTAAACCAAACCTCACAAGGCGATGTTGGACAACTACAGCCACTCTACTGCAACTGCTTACCTTGACATAACTTTATCTCTCATCGCATCATCACATAGGCTTATAAATAATTATTTAAAGTCATCTTTAGAAAGGCTTATAATTATTTAATCTCATCACAACAAAGGTTGTTTTTAATTCTTTAATCTCATTAGTCAACTCATTATTAACACACACACAAAACACAACCTAAAAGACGTACAACTCGCAAACAACTCCCCCCCCCCCACCAGCGTTTCTTCCAGGCATTCACTCCCCCCCCCCCCCCCGAAGAGAGTCTACCACCACCCCGAACGAAATCTATATAGAAAATATGTACTTTTAACAGTGTCCGAACCCCCCCCCCCCCACTACTGGAGTCAAGAAAACTATCCCATAATTTCACTATGGAGTCTGATGTGGCATGCTCAGCTTTATTGAGTACCTAGAGCGTGTTTATCTGACCCTAAACCAAACCTCACAAGGCGATGTTGGACAACTACAGCCACTCTACTGCAACTGCTTACCTTGACATAACTTTATCTCTCATCGCATCATCACATAGGCTTATAAATAATTATTTAAAGTCATCTTTAGAAAGGCTTATAATTATTTAATCTCATCACAACAAAGGTTGTTTTTAATTCTTTAATCTCATTAGTCAACTCATTATTAACACACACACACACCACCTAAAAGACGCACCACTCGCAAACAACTTCCCCCCCCCCCCCCAGCGTTTCTCCCAGGCACCCCCCCCCCCCCCCCCAAGAAAGTCTACCACCACCCCGAACGAAATTTATATAGAAAATAAGTACTTTTAACAGTGTCCGAATACCCCCCCCCCCCCCCCAGAGAAAGAAATCTGGAAGAAACACTGTTCCCACACAGACAACAAGAGAAAAGGGCAAAACTTAACAGGGGCAATAACTCTTTTAATTTTACTTTTACAATCCAACATGATTGTTTCCCTTTCAGAATCGACCATGCAATAATTGAGTTGTTAGTGATTTTGTGTTATAAAACGTTTAATGGGGCAGGACACAACCCCACGGTCATTTACCCCAATAGAAAGGGTCTAGTCATAGCAAATATTTATGCCGCATAAATAAGCTTTCTTAAAGGGAGGCTGTTAGTGAGGGGAGAGGGGGGGGGGGGGGTTATGACCGCGGGGGGGGGGGGGGGGGGGGGGGGGGTGATGTCCTAGCACCGTATCCTAACAGACGACCCACCTGAAAGATGTATCTCTTGCCCGGGCCGGTGGACGGGCCCTCAATGCCCATGGGCGGGACCTCTCCGCTCTTGATCTGCGAGACGTTTTTCCCGACGTGTGTCCGGCAGTAGATCTCCCGGTCCCCGTCGTTGGCATCGTTCCGATGGAAGGTCTGGATGGTCAGGGGGAGGCCGCAGATCCTGCACCGGAAGCACTGCTTGTGGAAGAGTACACCTGGGGGGGGGCAGAGGTTAAATAAAAGATTAGAGTTTTGGCTTGGGGTGGAGTTCAGAAGTTAAATAAGTTAAGGTCAGAGTTTTGGGTTGAGGTGGGGGAGATGATAGATTACATTTAGTGGGAGTTGACCATTGCACTAGGGGAGTTCAGAGATATGGTATAAATGGGGGGTTAAACTTATGTTACGGGGGTTGGAGCGGGTCGAATGATAATCGGGTGTAAGGAGGGTTTAATGTTAAACTGAAGTATGGTGGGGGGGGGATAGACTGGGGTGAGTCCCAGGGTGTGACAACCACTCACCAACATCCACCTTGTCCTGGGGTAACACCCGTCTGTTGCACCTGTGACACGGGTCAGTGGCCGCGGGCTGGGGGGCTTTTTCATACTTGAACTCATACAAGGTGGCTTTCTCGTAGGTGAAGGAGTACCTGGGGGAGAGAGGTGGTAGACATCAGGAACTTTTGCCACAGGTTGTGGTACACATAACCAAAAATGAACCGGGAGTGATCTCCCCTAAACTTTCTCGAATATTCTTATATAAAACAACAGGGGATGGGAACTCGGAATTTTAGTTATGATTTTTAATCCATTTAAATACTGAAACTTTTTAAAATAGAATAGAATCTCATAGAAAAAAGAATTGCGCACCAAGCGAACGCCGAATAAAGATGTGTATAATAGTGCGGAATATTATTAGTACTTTATAAATTCACATTCGTTTTTTGAGAAATCGGAAATAGTGAAAATTACTACTTTCGGTCAACGGAAATTACTCAAAATTTGAAAGAAGGCAGAAAATTAGATCTTTTACTTACATGTGAAATTTCATTTGTCTATTTGAAATAGTACTCAAGTTATAGGCTTTTGAAAAATTCAAAGTAGAAAAAGTTCCACTTCCGGTTATCGGAAATCGCTCAAACGTTGATACGGATCTACGATTTTGATATAATACTTATATATGAAATTTCATCAACCTAGCTGTAACGGTACTCAAGTTATCGTGTTTACTCACACACACACACACAAATACACACACACACACACACACAGACATACGGACAAGATTGCAAAACTATGTTTTTCCTACTCATTGAGGTGTAAAACGTCGAGATTTGTAAAAATCTCGATTTTTTTTTTTTTGCACGATTACAATACTTTCTCTATACTTCGTATATACGAGAAAGTAACAAGTACTCCATTACACATATCGGTCGATTGGGCAGATGACCTCGGCACTTGGGGTCATCACCGTGCCTCTAGCAGTGACGTAACGTTACTGCCTCTAGCGGAGCTCCCCACCGGCGGGTCGACACAATGCTAGGCTACACACATCAAACCTAACAAATAAACCGGAAATAGAATGAAGTACCACTTCCGGTTATCTAAGGTCACAACAAATTGAAAGTAATTCAAGTATAAAAATCTTATACTTTTATATGATGTGCGTCTACCTAACTGAAACAGTTCTCATGTTATCGTGTTTCCACGGAAATGGAGCAAAGTCCACTTCCAATATCTGAATCAAAAGTAATTTTTTTAATACAATAAGGCCTAAACACATATTTTAGAAATTTCGTTCATCTAACTTAAAAAAGGTACTTAGCTTATAGACTTTTGAGAAACCGGAAGTGGAGCAAGTACCACTTCCGCATACCGGAAATCGCTTTACAAATTTCAAATAATACTTATATAGGAACTTTCGTCAGCCTAACTAAAATGGTACTCATGTTATTGTGTTAACACACAGACACATACACATACAGACGAACAGGGTGGCAAAACAAAGTGTAGCCGGCCCCGGGAGGTTATGAAGCGACAAAATTTGTCAAAATATATATCTCGATTTCTGTGCGATTAAAATACATCCTTTATATTTCGTATACAATAAAGTAGGGAGTTGTAAAACGGCGAAACCTGTTAAATTTTCATTAACATTTGTGCACGACAACAATACTTTCTCTATACTCAGTACACGATAAAAATAAAACCGTACAAATAGGAAACCTAAGACATAAACTGGTACTGAAACTGGAGAAAAATCTCTGAATAAGACGCGCAAGATGTGACGTAGGGAAGTTCTCGTCTGTCTTCACCTCCCCTCACCCGCCTGCTCTGGTTATGTTAACTTCAAATGTGCCGTCACGAAATCTAGCATGAATCAACAACTGAAACCTTACACGCTGCAGCCATGCAACCTGATACACGGCGCTAGTCAACCTAACACAGTCAAACTGACACAGTCAACCTGACACACGGCGACACACAGCGCTAGTCAGTGTGTAGGACGACCAAACTAACCAAGGGAGATGTGATGTGCTATCCTGCACATGAAACATACAGGGGTAGGGTAGTTTACCATTAGGTTGAGTTGTGTAATACGGGGTATGGGGAGACAGCACTGTCACTTTTGTTCCACATTTTGAAAACAGGTAGATGCCCTCCTAAAATAAACAGATAGCCTTTTTCACCCCCCCCCCCCCCAACACACACACCTCAATAACAATATCATTAGCTGTTTGAAACACATAATAAATGCCGCATCCCACTTTACCTCCTTCCTCACCCACAAATTCGGGCATATTACATACATTCAACGCCCCCCCCCCCCCCACAGCCATAGTTCATGCTCAGAGAGATCGTAATTGTGTAATGAAGAGAGGGAGGGGTTCAGACGTGTGACGTAATGGTATTACATTTTATTAAGAACCTTCGGAACCGAAATTGAGCAGATATTTCTGAACACTTCGGTATAACTTAAAGTTGATCAATGTACCAAAGGATGACAGAGCCCAGTTATAGAAAGACAATGTTTTGTCACATTTTGGTAAAAGTGTAGGCTGAACTGCAATGTCACATAAGGGTCTGATTTTATGTGACGATGGGTAAGGGGGGGGGGGGGTAATATGCACCTTAAGAACGACCCTTAAATCCTAACGAGCTAACTTCTCCAATCTTAATCAGCCATTTCTCCACACGAAAGTAAACAAGACACGAAGACGAACATTAAAGGACTCGATGACAGTCCAGCTAATTAAAAACATGATTAGTAATTGATAATTAGATAACGATGATAGATACCGCACGACCAATGACGCATGACCTACTTAACGGAGAGGATCAGCCGTGTACCTAATCAAATCATTCAGCAACGGCTGATTATAATTTACTTATAAAGTAATGAATCCGTTCTAAGGCTCTAGCTTGAGCCTACATACGACTTTAAGAAATACAACATAATATTTGTTTTGTTTATGTATTACTATATTTGCCGTTTTCTGATAAATCAATAAATGTTTATTCTTAACATCACTTCCGCATACCAGAAAATGTGTTCTGTCTAGAGTTTAAATTTTTTATTATTTAAATACATAGGAAATAGCTTAAATTATTCGACGTTTTAGAAAATAATTGAATTTGAAATGAACAAAAATAAGGTTGATCTTCAAACTAGTTAGATCTAGATCTAGTATATTGCCTGACTTTTAAAAGTAGACCTAAAGTCCTGAAGCCTAAAGGTAAACAATGAGATTGATCTCACCTGTAAGACTGGTCATCGCCATAAGATTCTACGATGGCCACTTTTGGTGCCAGGCTGTCGTTACTGCCCATAGATTTCTGACTTTGTTTTCTCTCATTGTTGGCGATCACTGACCCTCCGACTTTGACGGACATTTTCAGATCCGGCCACCCAACACACTACACGAGCGAGTCGACCCTAGCTCGGCGTCTTGTAAACAACACACCTGGTCACAATGTTGAATGTTAAACTTCAAATCGTCCTCTTAAAGTCTACACATTTAGTTTTTAAATGTGTTTCTTCTTAACTTTACACTATAACAAAACTGTATTTTAAACTAGATCTTGTTAAAAGGTTTTGCTTTCAATATTTAATTTTAACTGAAGGACTGATATAAGGAAGTTTAGAAACGTCCCTAAGCTACACCAGATTCTTGTTACAAGAATGACTGAAGGAAATCCAACACTTTTTTCTTATTTTAATTATTTTATATTCCACGGAAGAAGTCCAACCGAAAGTTTAAAAAACCACTTGGAATGTACAGAAATAACCGTTAGAACAGTTTCAGCAGACGTTCAATGTAAGCCGAGTCCTCGCCTCACCAAGCCAACATGTTTACAATCCTCGCAGAATGTGTCCGCCATGTTTGGTGTATACAGTAGCTGTGACAAGACACGAATAGTTGACCTACTTTACCTGACGGTCGCATTGAGTCCAGGTAGCGTGTCGTTTTTGGGAGGGTAGGATCGGCGTCACCCGTGACGTCAGTGAATCCAGATTTTTTTTTATTTTTTTGTTCTGGGATTAAAGGAAAGTATCATTCTAAATACGTGTTCAATCAGGGCTTAAGTAGTACTCGCTAATTTTTTATAGCACAGAAAACAAAACAAAAACAAACAAAAAATGAAACAGAAGGCCACGTCAAGGCTCCAAGAATCCCCAAAAAATTAACAAAGCATAAACCAGCGCTACGGTTCGGTGCTTTCAAGCGTTTTACCTGCACAAGAAAAAATATCTGGCATGAATATTGTCAGTTCTCTTCAGTCCGTACCCCAGTTTGTTAGAAATATTCAAATTAAAATGCCCTTACAGTTTGTTTTTTTTCTGAATACATGGGCATAACTTAAGAATGTATGTCTATAGATTAGAAGATTTCTAAATGCTAGGGCATAACTTAAGAAAGTATGTCTATAGATTAGAAGATTTCTAAATGCTAGGGCATAACTTAAGAAAGTATGTCTATAGATTAGAAGATTTCTAAATTCTGTGTGATTGTGATACTTGGTCAGAGTGGGGATAACAGAAGCGTACATTTTGGACAGAGGGGAAAGAATAGCTACACTACAAACTCTACTCTCAAAGATATGACACCACCAACATACATGTGGGGACAGAATGAAATAACCCAGACAAGTATAAGGACAGAGTCTACACCTGGGCGTTAAAGATGAAACATGACCAAGCCACGGTCATGTTTGGACTGTCCGATTCAACGAGCCTTTAGATTGATCCAAATGAATGCTTCAACTAATTGACCGCTTGGTTTGTTTTAAAAATAGTTTGATTCAAACCCTTGTCTGATGTCTATCATCATATTTTCCAGTTTGTGTCAAAGACACGTGGGCAGATGAAGTAGAGTTAATCTGCTACATGACCTCAGCATACACGGATATAGTGTGGTCAGCACTATGCCCAGCCGCTTCTCTAACCTGTCAGGTACCCTTACGAGCTGGGTGGACTCAGGCCCGGCATCCGAACCCGAGTCTTTGAGTAAGCGCTACCACCCGACCACGTCGTCCCATACCTGCTGACTATATCTGCTTTCCTCGTGGCAACGTCCTCATCTTTATATAAGTTAGGTGATACACTACCAGCAGGGCCTGTGGCGCAACGGATAACGCGTCTGACTACGGATCAGAAGATTCCAGGTTCGAATCCTGGCAGGCTCGTGGATAATTTTTTAAGATTCGATAGCGTCCCTTTTTACCGTCTCGTGTAGGATTGTGTGGGAGAATTTAATCTTTTTTTTTTTGAAGTAAATTATATTTCGATCGGGTGGGGGGGGGGGGGGGGGGGGGGGCACCGAAGAGATACCTGAAAGAAACACTGGCCGAGGGAAAATAGACGAAATAAGACCAATACAAAACCTCATTAACATTTATATGAGCTATACAGTTATACACTACTAAAAACTTTCGAACTTATCACAAAAAATAGATTTTTGCAAATCTAGGTCTCGTACCGTTCAGCTGTTGTAAGGGCCTGTGGCGCAACGGATAACGCGTCTGACTACGGATCAGAAGATTCCAGGTTCGAATCCTGGCAGGCTCGCCTTTAACTTTTAGATTAAGGGGAGGAGGATCATTTTGGGTAGATATTTGTTATTTTAATAACACAAAATCTTGAAACATGCATAGCGATATCAGACTAAATATATGGCTGCTTCAGTTAATCAACATACAAATGAATATGTTCCCTATCTTTGCCCATCACCTAACCAACATACAAAAAAATACTTAAAAAAAACTTTTTAAAAAACCACGTTTTTCTTGTGGACTAAAAAGTAGAAAATAAAATTTTCTTTGTGCTTCCTCGAGCTGTGCAGGTTCTTGTGATGACTGACAAAAAACGTGGGTACGTTCACCATCAAATTTCCCGACCCATCTGCCCGACCCACGTTTTTGTCAGTCATCACAAGAACCTGCACAGCTCGAGGAAGCACAAAAGAAAATTTTATTTTCTACTTTTTAGTCCACAAGAAAAACGTGGTTTTTTTAAAAAGTTTTTTTTAAGTATTTTATTTTCTCCTTTTTAGTCCGTTGCTACACATGAAAAACGTGGTTTTTAAAAAAGTGTTTATAAATACACGGACTAAAAATCTTGAGCGACCAGGATTCGAACCTGGGTTGTCGCGGCCACAACGCGAAGTACTAACCACTATACGATCACGGCCAGCGCGATCACATCGATTGGGGCCGAAGTAACTGGGTCAATAGGCCTCCAGTCTTGTCGGTATCTTTAGAAATCATGTCCTCAATTTTATGGTCCTTGGGGCGTAATTAAATTAAGCTAATTACGGTCACTAATTGCTAGTTTTTATGATTGCATCTGAAATTGTTAGGCGAAAGTAGCATGCATGCCAAATTTCAGGTCTCTAGAGCAATCAGAAGTGGGCTAATTTTCGATGTCAATTTTAACAACAAACATCCAAACAACCAAACAAACAAACGCGAAGCTGAGTTAAGAAAAAAACGTGTTAATAAATATGTTCCCTATCTTTACCCATCACCTAACCAACATACAAGTAAATATGTTCCCTATCTTTGCCCAGTACCTAACTAACATACAAATAAATATGTTCCCTATCTTTGCCCATCACCTAACCAACATACAAATAAATATGTTCCCTATCTTTGCCAGGTACCCAACCAAACCTAATTAGACAGCAACTGAAATTCAATTTGGACTTTAATTTACGCTTACCTCAGAGCTCAATCAAATTTTAAATAATTAAAGATAAAAAAATATATATCCAAAGGTTGAACAGACACATGTACCAATACAATTTCGCATGAAACTAAAATTGAAATTGATAAGGCGGTGGGGGTCGGGGCAGTGTACTTTCAGACTTTTTTCTCTCTATTGGGGGGGGGGGGTAAATTATCCGAGGGGCGCACACTGGTAAAAGTATATACTCATAATGTTTAATTCTATTTCGTTAGGTTGGGGGAGTCCCTTCGAAATACAAAACCTCATTAAAATTTATATAAGCACTACACTACTAAAAATTATCGAACTATCACAAAAACAGATTTAGGTCTTATTCCGACCGTATTTGAAGGGCCTGTGGCGCAACGGATAACGCGTCTGACTACGGATCAGAAGATTCCAGGTTCGAATCCTGGCAGGCTCGTGGATAATTTTTTAAGATTCGATAGCGTCCCTTTTTACCGTCTCGTGTAGGATTGTGTGGGAGAATTTAATCTTTTTTAATATTTGATCCGGGGGTGCACACTGGTAAAAGTATATAATTCGCTAAGTAAATTATATTTCGATCGGGTGGGTGGGGTTGCACCGAAGAGATGCCTGAAAGAAACACTGGTCGAGGGAAAATAGTCGAAATAAGACCAATACAAAACCTCATTAAAATTTATATAAGCTATACAGTTATACACTACTAAAAACTTTCGAACTTATCACAAAAAATAGATGTTTGCAAATCTAGGTCTCGTTTCATGCAAGTGTTGGAAGGGCCTGTGGCGCAACGGATAACGCGTCTGACTACGGATCAGAAGATTCCAGGTTCGAATCCTGGCAGGCTCGCCTTTAACTTTTTAGACCATGGGGAGGGGGGGGGGGTCATTTTGGGTAGATAATTGTTATTTTAATAATACAAAATCTTGAAACATGCATAGCCATATCTGACTAAATATACGGCTGCTTCAGTTAACCAACATACAAATAAATATGTTCCCTATCTTTGCCCATCACCTAACCAACATACAAATAAATGCCTATACCTTATCTTTGCCAGGTACCCAACCAAACCTAATTAGACAGCAACTGAAATTCAATCTGGACATTAATTTACGCTTACCTCAGAGCTCAATCAAATTTTAAATAATTAAAGGTAAAAAAATATATATCCAAAGGTTGAACAGACACATGTATCAATACAATTTCGCATGAAACTAAAATTGAAATTGATAAGGCGGTGGGGGTCGGGGCAGGGTACTTTCAGACTTTTTTCTCTCTACTGGGGGGGGGGGGGGTAAATTATCCGAGGGGCGCACACTGGTAAAAGTATATACTCATTATGATTAATTCTATTTCGATCGGATGGGAGAGTCCCTTCGAAATACAAAACCTCATTTAAATTTATATAAGCACTACACTAGTAAAAATTATCGAACTATCACAAAATATAGATGGGCCTGTGGCTCAATGGATAACGCGTCTGACTACGGATCAGAAGATTCCAGGTTCGAATCCTGGCAGGCTCGCATTACTTTTTTACTTTTGGAGGTAAGATTCTTGATTTGTTTTCTGCAAAACCAAAATTTCTTGTCCTATGCGTTCTGACGTTTGACCTATTTTGTAATACATTTCTCAAACCCTAATATATTGTCTGTTAAAATACAGGTTCCAAAACTTGAAATCTCGATATATTTCAAACTACGTGAAAATCTCGATTGTAATTTTAATCTTTTGTATCTATTCAATTTAGCTCGTCTCACACAATGATTACAATTTTAATAACAACCTCAATGAAGGCCTATTTCACTCACCAAACTATTTTTTTTTACTTGGAGTGGGCTTGATAGGGTCATTGGGGTCGTCCATAAATGACGTCACACTTGTAGGGGGAGGGGGTTGGGGGTCCGTAATTTTGTGACGGTGTGTGAAGATGGGGAAAGGGGGGGGGGGGGGGGGTTAGATAGTGGGACTTCACACTTTTGCATTTTAAAAAAAATGAATTAGAAAATGAATTTTAGCCGTTATTTCGCGTTTTAGAAAACTGTTTTAATAAATTGTAATAGGAATTGATTAAAATACTCCATGTTGAGAGAGTTCAGACAAGATGTTGGAAAAATATCGATGTTTTAAGAAAAATTCAACTGCAATTTTGAGGGGGGTAGTAGGCTGAGGTGTGACGTCATATTTGGGGGGGGTCTGGCTTTTTGTGACGATATGTAACGGAGGGGAGGGGGGGGGGGTAAAAAATTAAAAATCGTCCAAAAAGCGTGACAACATTTACATTATTTACATATTTTACATTAACATAGACCGTCTAGATTCTAGATCTATATTTTGATCACCGTTGAGCTCCTTCCTCTGGGAACAGGATTAATAAAGATTATATTTCGCCCTTTCGAAAATTTTGTTATTTCTTTTTAAACACGTTTTAGCAAGTGTTTCTTTTAGGCATCTTGATTAGATCTATCTCCTCCAAACGAAATACAATTTATTTGGCAATTATAAACTTTTACAAGTGTCCGCCCCCACCCCCGAAATATTTTAATTAATCATTGAGAAACCTATTTGGATAAAAAAATATAGTAAAGTTTCAAGTTTTAATCAACACAACTTGATTACTGACTTTGAATTATTACTTGATAATATTCAAAAGGGCCTACAGAAAATAGGCTATAGTTTAGTTTTCTGAAAGATTTGGCTAAGACTCGGTTTTTAAAAAGCCGTCATTTTATTTTTTACTATCGCAACAAAATTAAAAGCATAGATAGTTCTACGGTTTAAAACAATAACACAGTTCATTCATAAATGTTAATTCTGATATTAAATCGATTTTCGCATCAAGACTAGTTTGGGGTAGTTTGGCAAGCGTATAGGATTTTAATCTGGCAAAATAAAAAAAATTGTAACCGGAAAAATTTGAGTAAAAAGAGGGCTAAACTGCTGCTACTTTAACAATTTACCACTAGATTTCTCTATAATACTTTATATCTACTGTAGGCCCTAAGCCTAATCATTAAACTAATTTAACTAACTATACACACTAACTAAACCACTTAACTAAAATAATTCGTTAATCTATCGTTTTAGGTAGGCCCTACTTATACTTAAAAGTAAAATCGGCCGAGACTAGTCTAGAAAAAGAACTCTAGATTTTAGATTTCTATCTAGATCTAGATTTCTAGATCTAGTCCTAGAATCTCTAGATCTACAGATCTAGTCTACTAAGTCTAGCTAGATCTAGAGTCCTAGACTAGTTAAGTACTAGAGCTAGTAGTCTAGTAAGTAAAGTAATGTGAAAAATAAACCAGGAATGGTCTCCACTAACTAAACTTTCTCGAATATTCTGAGTGTTAACTGTTAGGTGTTAACTGTTAAGTACTGTTAACTATTAGATTTCTAGTATTAGTCAGATAAAAAAAAAACCCAAAACAAAATGTTATTTGAAGTTTAACTTCAAATAACATTTAGGGTTGTTTTTTTTTTAACAGTGTCTGATAATAGAATTTTCTTACAAAAAGGGTGTTAGGTTACTTGTAGTTAACTAATACTGACTAATAGTTAACAGAATATACGAGAAAGTTTAGGGCTTAGGGGAGAACATTCCCGGTTTATTTTTCACATTACTTACTACTAGACTACTAGTCTAGGAATCTAGAAGTTTTAAGTAAGAATTGAACACAGTTGAGTATTAAATTATTAATGTGTGATCGCGTATTATAATGCTTTAAATGTCTTGAATAGTTTCCGGCCAAATGTCTGTGATCACGCTACAGTTGGGGCAGTGTGGCAACCAGGTGGGTGAACAGACTTTCTCCACCCTGACTGACGACATATTTGCCAAGGCCACTGGCGTCAGTGCTAAAGAGAACAGGGATTACGTCGAGACATCACTTGAGACATTCTTCACCCAGTCTGAGAGAGGGAGAGATGGAACACCATCTACTCCCACTGCCAGAGCTGTCTTAGTTGACATGGAATCTAAAGCCATCTCCCAGAGCATACAGCGGGCTCGGAGAAATGGCAAATGGAGATATTCCCAAAAACAGTCCTATTGCCAGCAAAGGGGATCTGGGAATAACTGGGCATATGGGTACTGCATCCATGGGCCAAAGTCTAAAGAGAACATAATGAATTTGGTGAGGAGAGAGGTCGAGAAGTGTGATCGTCTCGGAGGTTTTGTCAGTTTTTTAAGTTTAGCTGGAGGAACAGGCTCAGGTGTTGGGGCTTACGTCACTCAGAGCTTACGGGATGAATTTCCTCACTCATTCATATTGAACCAGGTATGTGTCAACTTGAAGGCTGGTAAATCTTTGTATGAAGTTGTCACTTAAATTAGACCCTACTTTTTGATATGAGAAATAATTTATTCTTTTTATTTTTGAAAGAAAATGTTGGTGTTCAGAATTTGTATAATGATGTTGATGTTTCCAACTTTGGTGTTCTGTTATTTGTCCCAGCATGTATTTGATTGTCTATTCACTCTGTCTGTCATACAAAATGTAGGTTTTGACAATTTTATATTGTTTACTTTTAATTGATATTGTACATTTTTAAAAATCTTAGGTTGTGTGGCCCTACAGCACAGGGGAGATAATAGTCCAAAACTACAATGCTGTATTAACATTATCCCATCTTTACGACACAGCAGATGCTCTGGTTGTCATGGAGAATGATTCTCTGCATAAGATCTGCAGCCAGCTTTTAAACATCAAAAATATTTCCTTCGGTAACATCAACAAGGTGATAGCACATAAACTGACAAGTGTTCTACAGCCTAGCTTCTTCCCTCAGGCAGCTGGAGGTGCTAGGTGTGATCTAGGTGTGTATAGATGGGGCACAACTTTTGCTAGACTAGTGTTGGCTAATACGGAGATTATTACTGTTGATCACCATGCATTACTAGTTTGCTTTAGTCAAAGTTTGGCTACAGCTCTGTAGAATGTCTTGACTTCACCACATTCAGAGAATGGGCAGCTATGAGATGTACAGATTGTATATTTTCTTTAAATATTAATGGCATAGTAGTTCTTGCTTCATACAACATATGTAATATGGGCAGATAAGCCAACATATGTAATATGGGCAGATAAGCCAACATCTATAATATGAGCAGATAAGCAAAAAATGCAAGTACAATGTTCAACAAGAGTGACCACCATTGCAGGTCTTTTACTGGAACAGTTGGTGCCACACCCCCAGCACAAGTTGCTGACTGTGAAAAATATTCCCCAAATGTCAGACGTGGCTCGAGAGTTTAGTGTCTACCATTGGCCAGGCCTGATGAAAAGTTTACGCCAGATGTTGATTGCTGATGCCCCCATGGAAGAAGGTCAGTCTCATATTGGTTGTCAGTAGCAGTTGATGGCATTTTAAATCTATCAAGATGGTGTTTTAGTCTAGTACTTAACCTGTAAACTTGTTAAAAATATTTGAATATTCTTGAGCTCTAATTTCCAGTGTGAAAGAGGAATTGTAAAACAATTTCTTACTTGTGACAGGTTTATACTTATTTGTTACTCAAGATAATTACTACTATGCTCTAAATCCCTCATTACAAAAGTATTTTCAAACCGTTTAATTATTATGGTCTTAAGCTATCAATAAATGGTGCCATGTATCTCAGGTATTAACTGGGAGGTGAAACCAGCCTCAAGAACGGCTAGTGGACACACGTGCTTCAACAGGTCATTGTCCTCCATGTTGGTCCTGCGGGGACAGGAAGCTTCCAGTACAGACGCCAGCATGTTCTCAGACCCAAACATCTACACATCCTGGGTGCCAGAGGACCTCATGTCCTGCGTCAACAGGCAGCCCAGGATGTTTTGTGATTACGAAAAGTCTGCTGCGCTGGTGAGCAACAGTTGCGCCAGTGTGAAGCCACTGAACCTGGTCATGGACAGGGCCTGGAACATGTTCTCCTCGCGAGCTTATGTCCACCAGTACCTGAAGCACGGCCTGAGTGAGGAAGATTTCCTAGATTCATTCGTCAGCTTAGAGAAGGTCATAGCAAGCTATAACCACTTGTGACCAGATGTCTTGTAAGCTTAGAGAAGGTCATCGCAAGCTATAACCACTTGTGACCAGATGTCTTGTAAGCTTAGAGAAGGTCATCGCAAGCTATAACCACTTGTGACCAGATGTCTTGTAATATGTCTAGTTTACACAAATATTTATAAAATATAAGTTCATGTAATATGTACAAGCCTTGAACTTAGCTTTGAAAAAGTAAATTGCTAAATTGTAGCTACTGTGGTGTCCTCAATTGGTGTAAAGTTTCATCAAATGTTTCAACTGACAGTGAAGTGGTTTTATCACTTCTAAAACTAAAGTTAAGGCTACAGTGATTTATTGAATATTAAATACACCAAAAAAATTCGTTCATGTAATGTTGATTGTTTTTTTTTTTCTCATCAAAGCTTTCTGTGATAAAGCTATATTTTATTCATAAAATTGTTATTGTTCATAAACTCTCCACTATAGTCTATTTTTTGATAAATAAAATGACACCAAGCATATATTGTTTTCATCATTTATTTATAGGTGTTAAATATAAAATTCTAAGAGGAATGACTAAATTGTTAAGGAAACCAAAAATGCACTGGTCTAACATCACCTTGGTTTTTCATCCAGAGAGTTCAAAAATGTTTTCACAGCATTCACAAATTCAATAGGTTTTTCAGCATGTACAGCATGCCCGGCATCTTCAATGGAAGTTATATCAGCATTGGGGAACAGCTTACGTACCCTATCAACCCCTTCAGATCTGTGGACAAAATGGAAGTTATATCAGCATTGGGGAACAGCTTACGTACCCTATCAACCCCTTCAGATCTGTGGACAAAATGGAAGTTACATCAGCATTGGGGAACAGCTTACGTACCCTATCAACCCCTTCAGATCTGTGGACTAATTGTAACAGTAATATGGAGTGTAACTCGTTTGACAAGGCTACTTAATTTAAATATTTAACTAGCAAAAATAAAGTTTAGATATATAACCATGCAATTTTATTGAATGTATCCATGCTAAATGACACTGCTGAGATTAATTTTTTATTCATAGCTAGGAATTGAACAATTTCTTTCCTAGATAAACATCCAGACATGGCTGAGGGGGGTGGGGGGGGGGAAGTGTCAACACAGAATGCTAACATGAATTATTAGAAGATCCGTTATATGACTCAAGTTAAAGATTATTAATTACTCAAATAATTTTTTTTAATTTAGTCAGGCTTTAGGCTCACTCACGTGTAGTGTGGGGATTTGGTACCAAAAATAAACAGGGCTGGTTTTGTGAAAGGTTGAGCCTCTTCATGGGGGAACTGGTGGATGAAATCGTAATTGTTGAGGATAACATCTAAGTTCATCCTCCATTTTATTTCTCCATTCTCAAACTCTCTCAAGTTGGTCAGGAGAAACTGGAGAACTGCACGATTCTAAAACCAAACCACAAAATGAGAAAAAATATATTAGTTGGACATGGAATTTTTTTAAATAGTTGTACAGGTAGATTTCGTCCTTTAGGTAGATGTACTTACAGTATAGTTGTACAGATAGATGTACTAACAGTATAGCTGTACAGGTAGATGTACTTACAGTATAGTTGTACAAGTAGATGTACTAACAGTATAGCTGTATAGGTAGATGTACTAACAGTATAGTTGTACAAGTAGATGTACTAACAGTATAGCTTTACAGGTAGATGTACTAACAGTATAGCTGTACAGGTAGATGTACTAACAGTATGTTGTACAGGTAGATGTACTTACAGAATAGTTGTACAAGTAGATGTACTAACAGTATGGTTGTACAGGTAGATGTACTTACAGTATAGTTGGACAGATAAATGTAGTTATAGTATAGTTGTACAGATAGATGTACTAACAGTATAGTTGTACAGGTAGATGTACTAACAGTATAGTTGTACAGGTAGATGTACTAACAGTATGGTTGTACAGATAAATGTACTTACAGTATGGTTGTACAAGTAGATGTACTAACAGTATAGCTGTACAGGTAGATGTACTAACGGTATAGTTGTACAGATAGATGTACTAACAGTATAGCTGTACAAGTAGATGTACTAACAGTATAGCTGTACAGGTAGATGTACTAACAGTATAGCTGTACAGGTAGATGTACTAACAGTATAGCTGTACAGGTAGATGTACTAACAGTATAGCTGTACAGGTAGATGTACTAACGGTATAGTTGTACAGATAGATGTACTAACAGTATAGCTGTACAAGTAGATGTACTAACAGTATAGCTGTACAGATAGATGTACTAACAGTATAGCTGTACAGGTAGATGTACTAACAGTATAGCTGTACAGGTAGATGTACTAACAGTATAGCTGTACAGGTAGATGTACTAACGGTATAGTTGTACAGATAGATGTACTAACAGTATAGCTGTACAGGTAGATGTACTAACAGTATGGTTGTACAGGTAGATCTACTTACAGTATAGTTGTACAGATATATGTAGTTATAGTATAGTTGTACAGGTAGATGTACTTACAGTATAGTTGGACAGATAAATGTAGTTATAGTATAGTTGTACAGGTAGATGTACTAACAGTAATGACTGGGCTTAGCTGGACGTCTGCCAGTTTTCTTGCTTTGACAATTGATGTCCCAGGAGGTATTTTAAAGTTTTTCATCGCCTCTCCATGCTTGCGTAACTCCTCTGCTCCTGGACTGTTGCCTGGGACTACATCAATCGCTATCACGGCGTTTACTGTTTCAGGCTGGCCAAACGCAAAGGTTAATCAATTTTAAGAGCTAATTAATATTAATATAATATATTTATCCTTAAGTAAGTGAAATTCACTTCTCAATTTTTAAATTATTCAAATTAAAAAAATCAGGCTAGATTTTATTAAGTGAATATGATGGCCATCAAGTTTTTGTACCATAATTCTGAAATATTCTGTAAATGATCTGATGATACATTTGTAAACTGGACTCATGATGCAACACAAAAACCTGAACTTTACCTTAGTTAGAGCCAAAGTCATAGCTGTCTTTCCCCCCATGCTGTGGCCCATTACAGCGACATTCGTTAGCTTTAAGTCTTTGATTAAACCTTCCAAGTCATCCGCCATACAGTCATAGTTCAACTCAGGTGTGTGCTGGCTGTCACCATGGTTACGAGCATCATATGTAATCACCTGTAATCATGCCAATAGTCAAATTCAACTGGAAGAAGTTATTTATGAAAATTTCAAAACAAAAGATATTTGTTTGTCGATGTGTGTCTTAACTATTCCTTTTTTTTTACTTTCTCGTATAAACGAAGTATAGAAAAAGTCTTGTAATCGTGCAAAAAAAAAAAAAAATCGAGATTTTTACAAATCTCGACGTTTCACACCTCACTGATACGGAAAAACATAATTTTGCAATCTTGACCGTATGTCTGTGTGTCTGTCTGTGTGTCTGTCTGTGTGTGTGTAAACACGATAACTTGAGTACCGTTACAGCTAGGTTGATGAAATTTCATATATAAGTATTTTATCAAAGTCGTAGATCCTAATCAACTTTTGAGCGATTTCCGATAACCGGAAGAGGTACTTTTTCTACATTGAATTTTTCAAAAGCCTATAACTTGAGTACTATTTCAGATAGATAAATGAAATTTAACATGTAAGTAAAAGATCTAATTCTCTACCGTCTGTCAAATTTTGAGTAATTTCCGTTGACCGGAAGTACTAGTTTACGTTATTTCCGATTTCTCAAAAAACGCATGTAAATTTATAAAGTACTAATAATATTGCGCACTATTATGCACATTTTGTTTTGGCGTTCGCTTGGTGCGCAATTCTTTTTACTTTCTCGTATATACGAAGTATAGAGAAAGTATTGTAATCGTGCACAAAAATCACTTGAAATTTTAACAATTTTCACCGGATTACATCTCAGTCCTTCATCACATCCGAAGTATAGAGGACTTATTTTAATCGAACAAAAATTATCAATCCAGATTTATCAAAATTAAGAGTTTTTATGCGTAATCCAGTCTGAAAAACTGGGCTTTGCAATTCTGTCCGTGTGTCTGTGTGTGTGTGTGTCTGTGTGTAAACACGATAACTTGAGTACCGTTACAGCTAGGTTGATGAAATTTCTCATATTAGTATTTTATCAAAATCGTAGATCCGTATCAACTTTTGAGCGATTTCCGATAACCGGAAGTGGTACTTTTTCTACTTTGAATTTTTCAAAAGCCTATGACGTGAGTAATATTTCAGATAGATAAATGAAATTTCACATGTAAGTATAAGATCTAATTCTCGACCTTCTGTTAAATTTTGAGTAATTTCCGTTGACCGGAAGTAGTAATTTACGCTACTTCCGATTTCTCAAAAAACTAATGTAAATTTTTAAAGTACTAATAATATTGCGCACTATTATGCACTTTTTTATTTGGCGTTCACTTGGTGTGCAATTCTTTTTTCTAAGAGATTTTATTCTATTTGTGAAACTTTAAGTATTTAAAATGGATTAAAAATCATGTCTATAGCCCGAGTTCCCATCCCCTGTTGTTTTATATAAGAAAATTCGAGAAAGTTTAGGGGAGATCACTCCCGGTTTATTTTCTATGAGATTCTATTCTATTTTTAAAAGGTTAAGTAATTAAAAATCATGTCTATATTCCAAGTTATATAAGAATATTCGAGAAAGTTTAGGGGAGATGACTTCCGGTTTATTTTTACAATGGTTTGCCTAACAAAGATATTGTATGAATTATTTCCCTTTACAACTTCATTCAGGCATAAGGAATAAGAGTATCACCCTGCCTAAAGGCATCTTTCAATGCAGCAAATAATTGCAAGGTGTAAGAATTGGGAGGTTATGAAACTAAGACATACCCATGTATGCTGAGCGGTATTTCACTAAACCAAATTTGTGTCTAGAGTCAATGAAAAACTAAAACTTTACCTTCCTGCCATCACTAGCAAGATGCTTTGATAGACTGTGCAAATGTCCTTTAGCACCATACAGACCATGAAGGAATATAAGTGGGGTTTTCTTAACGTCAATTGTGTTCTTATGGTCTGGGTAAGTTGTGTACGACACCTGAACATGTGCACTGTACAAGTTTCAAATTCTTAATTAAGATATATATATATATATATATATATATATATATATATATATATATATATATATATATATATATATATATATATATATATATATATATATATATATATATATATATAGGCATTGTTGCATTGTCGGGCAAGCCGTTGAGAGAATTAGCCTATACATAAAATTGAACATTGACTCTTTTGTGAGATTGGCATCCGGCACCCGCAACTGTACACATATCGCTAAAAACTCTCTACCCCACCGCCACAAACCTGCACCCCCCCCCCCCTCCCATCTCAACTCTCTGTCCTCACCTAAATTCCATCCATCCATAATTACAATTGAGCCAATTTTTAAAAATAAAAGCCGTGGACCGTGTTTTCACTGCTACGTCGAAAATGTGTCAATATTTTTCTAGTTTTAGCCTTAATAACAATTTGTTTGTTGATCTAATTTACCTCTAATCAATATGCCGCTACTTAAAATTTTGTGTTTGTCTCCTTGTTCATTTGCATTAATACCAAAATGATCCAATCGCCAAGAAACTTTGGGAAGTCCTTTAGAATAATTCAGACAAACTTCTACTGACCGTGACATTTCCTACCACAACTCCATACATTGGGAGCAGTGCCTCTGATAAGGGGTGCATTCAGTGTTTCTTCCAGACTTTTTTCTCCGGGGGGGGGGGGGGGGGGCACTTGAAATTTTCGAGGGGGGGGGGGGTCGCGGTAGACTTTCTTCAAGGGGGGGGGGGCAAAGCCCCCATCCCCCCCCCCCCCCTCCCTGAAGAGATGCCTGGAAGAAACTGCATTTAGTGGCAGGCCTTTTATGCGGGGATGATGTGCTGAGGTCATTTAACACCTCTCAAGACAACAGGCTTGCAATAGTTATGATCATGGTTATGAGCAAAGGTGTGCATGAAAACTAACGCTTTATGCTCCTTATTTTCATTGAGCATAGCATTATAGAAGTCTTCCATCATTGACGCAGTAGCGTAGCGAGGGGGGGGGGGTTACATATGTCCCCGGGCGCCGACCTTAGGGGGCACCAAAATGGGTTGGAAGAATAAATTGAAAGGTTGAGGGGGGTGCAAATCGAAAGTTTGAGGGGGGGGGGGGGGGCGCAAATCGAAATCTCGAGGGGGGGGGGGTGCAAATCGAAAAGTTTGTCCCCGGGAAGGGTCGCTACGCCTCTGCATTGACGTCACGCATCCAGAGTTTCTTCCAGGCATCTCTTCGGGGGGGCGAAGCCCCCCCGAAAAATTTTTACCGCCCCCCCGAACGAAATGAAATTTATATAATTTATATAGAAAATATATACTTTTAACAGTGTCCGCCCCCCCGAAGAAAGTTTACCGCCCCCCCGAAGATTTCAAGTGCCCCCTCGGAGAAAAAAGTCTGGAAGAAACACTGCACGCATCCTCCGCTCCCCGATCACCCCTTCATTATAGGTCATAAATTGCGGTCCTACGTAAGTTGACGTCACATTAACATAGCCTATGTGACATCGTTTATGGACAACCCCATATCAATCATTTTGGGTATTCACTATTTGGTATCAACATTTTGACAACAAATGTTATTCAAAATGTGTATGAAAGGTTAGGACTTGAGATCTACCATAAATGACATCCCGCACTTAATCAGTGGAGTAACTGGTTTTTGAGAGACGTTTTACGTGGGAAGGGGGAAACACGAAACGTTATGTATGTCGCCTAATACAAAAATGCTAAAAACATTCTTTTTTGTTAGAATTATAGCTTGACTTCTTAAAAGGCAGGACAAAAAGGTTATTTTCGACATCAGGACTATTTCGTGACAGCGAAAATGGGTGGGAGGGGGGGGGGGGGTTCTGAGGTGAAGAGAGGTAAAAAAAAAAAACGTGACTTCATTCTTGATTAAATCACTAATTAAAGAGGAAAAACATGAAAACATGAAATAAAAATTGCAAACAACAATAGTAGTAGTAGTAGTAGCTCTACAAAAATCGGGATTTCCTTAATTTATAAAAAATTACATCAAGTCAAGTCAATTAAAAACATAATTTAAAAAAAAAAAAAAAACGCATACTTTGTATTTAAAAACAAGACAATCGAATTTAACAGCAAACTATTTGTATACAAATAGAAATTAAAGGGAAATGACTCAAAATATTTTCTCAAGTTGGCCGCTGTTTTTAAAAGCAAATTTAGTATCTGTTGTTAAACGTTAATTTCAGGATATTTTTATTGATTTAACCCTTAACTGTGGTTTAATATTCAATTATCTTTAGTATTTTAGTAGAATATTCAATAATATATTCATATTCAAGCCATATTCATTAGTTACCTTATCCCTACATTACTAGCGCCTGCCGAATTGATTACGCTAAAACGATAAATAGATTACCTTAGTTAGATTAGATCTAGATCTAATTACTAGATTCTAATTAGTATTACTATTAGTATTAAAAAATTAAATACAATTATAAATAAAATTAAAATTACACGGGTGAAGAAACTGTTGAAAAATGCTTCCATTGCTTACAAGGCGTTTTTGTAAAATAATAAAGCCTGCCGATACGCATTATGAACAAATGCAAGTGAATTTATAAAGTAGTAATAATATTCCGCACTATTATACACCGATTGTATGGCGTTCACTTGGTGCGCAATTTTTTTCTACGAGATTCTATTTTATTTAAAAAGTTTAAGTAATTAAAAAGCTTGTTCTTGCCCGAAGTTTTGCTCGCCCGTTTCGATCTAGACAGACAAATAAACAGGATTAAGACAGACAAAGGAAGCAAGTGAAATGAAAGCTCATAATAAAAGTTAGTAACTACACCTGGAGGTTAAAGATGAAACATGACGAAGCCATGGTCAGCGCTGGACTGCCCGATTCAGCGATTGTCTTTGGACTGACCCAACTGAATGCTTCAACTAATTGACCGCTTTATTTTTAAAAATCGTTTAATTCAAACCCTTGTTATCATCTTAGTTTCCAGTTCGTGGCCAAGACACGTGGGCAGATGAAGTCAGAGGCGTAGCGAGGGCGGGCGGATCGCACCGGGAGACATCATTTAGGGGGGTGACACCAAGGCAAAAAAGCATATACACATACATGTTCGCGTATGCGGCATATATTTAAATTATAGGCCTATGTAGGCCGACACAAACACACACACACCCCCGAACGAAATGAAATTTATAAAGAAAATATATACTTTTAACAGTCTACCGCCCCCCCCCCCCTCCGGAGAAAAAGTCTGGAAGAAACACTGGTCACCCCCCCCCTTTCATCCTTAGCTTATCCTTATTGTTGTCAGACATGTCCCCAGACCCTGTACCCATCAACCTTTTAAACTGTTGTCACAACTGGAAGGCATGTTCTAGCAAGTAGTTCGCAGGCTAGCTAAACTGATAGTTCGGTACCTGGCCCACTGACCCATCAACCTTTTAAAATGTTATCAAAACTGGAAGGAATGTTCTAGCAAGTAGTTCGCAGGCTACCCATCAACCTTTTAAAATGTTATCACAACTGGAAGGCATGTTCTAGCAAGTAGTTCGCAGGCTAGCTAAACTGATAGTTCGGTACCTGGCCCACTGACCCATCAACCTTTTAAAATGTTGTCACAACTGGAAGGAATGTTCTAGCAAGTAGTTCGCAGGCTACCCATCAACCTTTTAAAATGTTATCACAACTGGAAGGCATGTTCTAGCAAGTAGTTCGCAGGCTAGCTAAACTGATAGTTCGGTACCTGGCCCACTGACCCATCAACCTTTTAAAATGTTGTCACAACTGGAAGGCATGTTCTAGCAAGTAGTTCACAGGCTACCCATCAACCTTTTAAAATGTTGTCACAACTGGAAGGAATGTTCTAGCAAGTAGTTCGCAGGCTACCCATCAACCTTTTAAAATGTTATCACAACTGGAAGGAATGTTCTAGCAAGTAGTTCGCAGGCTAGCTAAACTGATAGTTCGGTACCCGGCCCACTGACCCATCAACCTTTTAAAATGTTATCAAAACTGGAAGGAATGTTCTAGCAAGTAGTTCGCAGGCTAGCTAAACTGATAGTTCGGTACCTGGCCCACTGACTCATCAACCTTTTAAAATGTTATCACAACTGGAAGGCATGTTCTAGCAGGTAGTTCGCAGGCTAGCTACACTGATAGTTCGGTACCTGGCCCACTGACCCATCAACCTTTTAAAATGTTGTCACAACTGGAAGGCATGTTCTAGCAAGTAGTTCGCAGGCTACCCATCAACCTTTTAAAATGTTATCAAAACTGGAAGGAATGTTCTAGCAAGTAGTTCGCAGGCTAGCTAAACTGATAGTTCGGTACCCGGCCCACTGACCCATCAACCTTTTAAAATGTTATCAAAACTGGAAGGAATGTTCTAGCAAGTAGTTCGCAGGCTAGCTAAACTGATAGTTCGGTACCCGGCCCACTGACCCATCAACCTTTCAAAATGTTATCACAACTGGAAGGAATGTTCTAGCAAGTAGTTCGCAGGCTAGCTAAACTGATAGTTTGGTACCTGGCCCACTGACCATAGGTCATCCCACGACCCAATTGTCCCTCACTGTCAAAAGAAATCCTCGTGTCTAGCATCTGTGTGAAATGCTCGATTCTTGTAAATGTTGAGGTATGTTTCGCGCCAGCTGTTTGGTTATCTAACGACACTAAAAGATTGTATATCTCTTAACTGACATGCTTTCTTTAAGACAAAAACACTCATGTTGCACAATACTGATCTGTCTATGATACTGTTTCAGTGTTTACTTAGGAATTAGGAATGTTTATTTTTTGAACTCAAGCCTGTTTTTTTTTTACTACTGTGATGTTGGATTTAAATTATTGAACCTAGTCAGTAGTCAATTTTTACTTCAATAATTTTTAATGGACCACTTTTAAATTTAAAAAAAATGTAGAGATATTCCATGCAGTTATCAATGCATTAAAAAAAGTACTATTTTGAAAATTTATAATGGTACACCTACGCAGAGTTTATTTCCCATATTTCTTTTTTCTATACTCTCAACATTACAAACTTTTGTTTTTATTCTCCATAGGCTTAATTGGCCCCATAATTTTTACACTAAAACTGTCATATCTATACATAATTTTGGTATCATTTTGAAGCAATTAGTTCCTTTAATATGACCATGTCGTTATTTTGTCATTTTCATTTATTAAAAAAATTCGTGCAACTAGCTATCAGCTAGGTTTTTCATCCAGAGAGTCCAAAAATGTTCTAACAACATTCACAAATTCAATAGGTTTTTCAGCATGAACAAAGTGCCCGGCATCTTTAATGGAAGTTATATCAGCATTGGGGAACAGCTTAGGTATCCTATCAACCCCTTCAGATCTGTGGACAAATTGTAACAAAAATATGGGGTCTAACTGATTTGACAAGGCTATTTAATTCTTTTTAAGAAAATATTTAACTAGAAAAAATAAAGTAAAAGGTCATATCTAGATCTATGATAAATGAACACACTGTAGATATTAATTATTAATTCATAACTAGGAATTGAAATTTTTTTTCCTAGATTAGATAAATAACAGCCAGACCAGGTTGAGAGGGGGGGGGGGTGTCAACACAGAATGCTAACATGAATTACCATTTACCAGAAGATCATTTATATGACTCAAGTTAAAGATTATTATTTAAAGAAGTTAAAACAAAATGTTAGCAAAAATTTGGGCTCACTCACTTGTAGTGTAGGGATTTGGAACCAAAAATAAACAGGGTTGGTTTTGTGAAAGGTTGAGCCTCTTCTTGAGGGAACATGTGGATGAAATCGTAATTGTTGAGGAAAGCATCTAAGTTCATCCTCCATTTGATTTCTCCATTCTCAAACTCTCTCAAGTTGGTCAGGAGAAACTGGAGAACTGCACGATTCTAAAACCAAACCACAAAATAAGAAAAAATATATTAGTTGGACATGGAATTTTTTAAAATAGTTGTACAGGTAGATTTTATTGTACAGGTAGATGTAATTACAGTATGGTTGTACAGGTAGATGTACTAATAGCGTAGATGTACTTACAGTAATGACTGGGCTTAGCTGGACGCCTGCCAGTTTTCTTGCGTTGACAATTGATGTCCCAGGAGGTATTTTAACATTCTTCATTGCCTCTCCATACTTGCGTAGCTCCTCCACTCCTGGACTTTTGCCTGGGGCTACATCAACCACGATCAGGGCGTTCATTGTTTCAGGCTAGCCAAACGCAAAGGTTAATCAATTTCATAAAACAGTATTTAAATTTAAGAGCTAATTAATATTAATATTATATATCTATCCTTAAGCAAGCAAAATTAACATTTTAATTTTTAAATTAATCAAGTTTAAAAAATTAGGTTAGATTTTATTAAGTAAATATGATGGCCATCAAGTTTTTGTACCATAATTCTGAAATATTCTGTAAATGATCTGATGATACATTTGTAAACTGGGCTCATGATGAAACACAAAACCTGAGCTTTACCTTAGTTAGAGCCAAAGTCATTGCTGTCTTTCCCCCCATGCTGTGGCCCATTACAGCGACATTCGTTAGCTTTAAGTCTTTGATTAAACCTTCCAAGTCATCCGCCATACAGTCATAGTTCAACTCAGGTGTGTGCTGGCTGTCACCATGGTTACGAGCATCATATGTAATCACCTGTAATCAAGCCAATAGTCAAATTCAACTGGAAGAAGTTATTATGACAACTGCAAAACAAAAGATATTTGCCGATGTGTGTTCTTAACTTTACTATTTTTTGTAAAATGGGTTACATTACAAAGATATTGCATGGATTATTTCCCTTTACACGTTTATTTAGGTATTAGGAATAAGAGTACCACCCTGCCTACAGAGTTTCTTCCAGGCATCTCTTGGGGGGGGGGGGGGGGGGGACGACAAATGAGATGGAATTTATATAGCAAACATAATTTTACTAGTGTCGTCCCGTTTCCCCCCCCCCCCCCCCCCCCCCCGGAAAATGTTGACCCTCAGATAAAAGAGTCTGGAAGAAACACTAACACTGCTTGCCTAAAGGCACCTTTCAGCAGCAAACAGTTGCAAGGTGTAAGAACTGGGAGGTTATGGCACTAAAGGCTTGTGAGGACCTGTGAGGGTGGGGATTTTTACGAAAGGCGGAACGAATGAATCCAACAACACGCAGTTCAAGTTCAACTATAATTGTTCTTTATTAAAATGATATATATGTTCAAGTTTCTACCTAACTGATCTACACTGTACTATTTACTTCTACTACTGACTGTTCACTATACTACTAACTCCCACGACCAATCCTAACACTATCTACATTCTACAACCTAACACCTTCTCTACTCTTCGCTATCTAATCATGATCTCCTAACTATCTACATTCTCGGCCGTCTCTGCCCGCTACCTAACAACTACTGGCCTATCGCTCTACTGCCCCACGCCTCAGTGGTCAGCTGACCGTCCCACGTGACCGGTCAGCCCTGTGCGCCCATTGGCCTCTCTAACCAACCAACTAGGCCTATAGTCTGTTTCTGCTAAACTATATCTGCTCAACATGTCTGACGTAATCTTGCGTCATCACATATCTCCCTCCCTTTCTGTAGCTGACAAATTATATTTTTCAGCGTCTACTACTAATCTAATACATCAACAACTATCTATCTTACTACTCTATTCTATCCCTAACATCAATCATGTAAATCAAATACAAAATGGGACAGCACAGTTTACAAAAACATAAAATCTTGTATCTGTGTTCTTGAAAAAAAAATGTCATTGTTTTCGTTCTTGTGTAGGTATCCTGACGTCTGTGGTGTCTCTGCTTGATAATGTATGTCTATGTTTCATGGTATGTGTGAATCCAATCATGTGAAACTCAGTTCTGGCTAGGTTGTCGTGTACTGGCCTTGAGCTAATCTTAGTAGAATGTGTAACTGGTTGAACGGCTCAGCGAGCAGTGTGTTTGTGTAAGTGTTATGTAATCGCTGGCGTTCCTCTGTGGTGGGTGGGTTGTGGCGTTGGTCGACGTAAATTCCCGTGAGGCGGGTGTACGCGTAACTTTCGTTGGTCAATGTGATGACGCAACAATCTCAACGCTGGTTGAGACGTCCAAGCAGAGTGGTTATACGATGAACTGAAGCTGTCTGATGCGGCGGCGAACAATGACGTAACGTTCCGACGCTGGGAACTTGGACGATGGGTCTTCTACCCTTTGTATGTGCCGACGTAGGTGTACGTAGCTGGCGGTCTGTTATTCAACCCCAGTGCGGGGGCGAAGCGGTGGCGATGCGTCCGCTGTCTTGACCAGGGCAATTCTCTGTTAAGCAGGGCTGTTCGCTGTCCAGGTAATTCAACGTAATCAGGGCTTCAGGTGGCGGCATTCTTTGAAGTGTCGGCTTCATCTCGTCTCATTCTGAATAGCGCTGGTGGGTCTGAAATTGTATTACGAGACCATGAGCAATGGTTTTACGTGACTATCTTAGTGCCCGCGCAGACAAGTATTCAGACAGAGGTACCTTCCATTAAAAAAACCTCAATCCCAAATTTAAACGTGCTGAACACTTGTCTGGCGGTACATACAGCATACAAAATTAACATTACAAAAATAACATTACAAAAATAACCAAATACAAAATAGTACACTCTAATCTAACAACAATCTGTAAAGCCTAATAAACTCAATAGACGTAAACACTACTAGAGCTTAGAAATAGCTTCACAAAAAGAATAGACATGTAAGTGTATATCAATAATCGTGCCGTTTCAAATAACATTTGAACACGTAATCATATAGTGGAGCAGCTCTCACTATCTGACTTCTGACAAAAAACAGGCTGGTTTGACTTAATGACTGACTTCACTTTTGACTTTAGTAACTTGACTTATTTCACTTTGACTGACTTCACTTTGACTTCAGTAACTTGACTGACTTCAATTTAACGACTGATTCCACTTTGACGACTTCAATTACTTCAACTTGACGACTAACTTCACTTTGAAGACTAACTTGACTTTGAAGACTAACTTGACCTCGACGACTTCACTTCAATTCAACTTAAAAGACTTCACTGACCGACTTAAACTTCGACGACTTAAACGTCTTCACTTTGACTTCAAAGACTTTTTCTTTGACTTCAACGACTTCAATATGACTTCAAAGACTTCACTTTGACTTCAACAACTTCAATATGACTTCAAAGACTTCACCGACATCACTTTGACTTCAAAGACTTCACTATAACTCGACGATTTCACTTCTTCACTATGACCTCAACGACTTTAATATAACTTCAAAGACTTTTCTTTGACTGCAACATGACTACGTCACTATGACCTTAACTACGACTTCAACAACTTATTGACTGACTTGACTGACTTCAAATAACTTCTTTGACTTCAGTTCTGACTTATACTTCACTGACTTCAATAACACAATTGACTTCAGATTTGACTACACTGACTTCTGACTGTACGACTTCACGTCGATTTCCTCGACTACTTAGATCAACACAAAAACTCGACTTGACTTCACTTTTGTCCGTTGTTCAAAATCATTTATGGGGACGGTCCGGGTCATATTCTTGGTCATGGGGTTGATGTTCTTGGGCAGTTGCGTGTTATCTATGTGCTGTACTTTCCGTTTCACTAATTCTAACGCTAACTCTGCTTTTGTTCTTGACATGCTTTACTATCTTGACTATCTTGTTTCCTAATTTATTCTCTACAAATGTTTCAACTTCTTCTCCTGTTTTGTCTAATAGTATGCCCTGTTTATAGCATTGAAACTCTGCCTCCATGGTTGTGTATGTGTATGTGTGTGTGTTGAGGAAAGTAAACAAAACTAAGGCAACAGGGCGTAACAATAGAATGTGTAAGGCAGAAAAACCACTGGTACAAACTATCCAGCACGGGTATAAACCCAAACGTTTAAAAAAAATGATGGAAGGTACTTATCTTTTTGAACATGGTGACTGTTCCCTTGTATTGGTAATCCACTCGTTCCGGTTGAAGAAACCCGCTGTTGTGTTGAGTTGAAGAAAGCTGTACACCAGATGTACTCCGTCATGAGTAGCTGATATACTTTCTTTCCTGTCCTCGACCCGCGCTCCACCAGATGTGAGGGTGGGGATTTTAAGGGAGGCCGGAACGAATGGATCCAACAACACGCAGTTCAAGTTCAACTATAATTGTTCTTTATTAAAATGATATATATGTTCAAGTTTCTACCTAACTGATCTACACTGTACTATTTACTTCTACTACTGACTGTTCACTATACTACTAACTCCCACGACCAATCCTAACACTATCTACATTCTACAACCTAACACCTTCTCTACTCTTCGCTATCTAATCATGATCTCCTAACTATCTACATTCTCGGCCGTCTCTGCCCGCTACCTAACAACTACTGGCCTATCGCTCTACTGCCCCACGCCTCAGTGGTCAGCTGACCGTCCCACGTGACCGGTCAGCCCTGTGCGCCCATTGGCCTCTCTAACCAACCAACTAGGCCTATAGTCTGTTTCTGCTAAACTATATCTGCTCAACATGTCTGACGTAATCTTGCGTCATCACAGGACCCTACCCAGGAGTACCCATGTATGCTGAGTGGTATTTCACTAAACTAAATTTGTGTCTAGAGTCAATGAAAAACTAAAACTTTACCTTCCTGCCATCACTTGCAAGATGCTTTGAAACACTGTGCAAATTTCCTTTAGCACCAAACAGACCATGAAGGAATATAAGTGGGGTTTTCTTTACATCAACTGTGTGCTCATGGTCTGGGTAAGTTGTGTACGACAGCTCAACATCTGCACTGTAAAAGTTTTAAAATCTGAATTGAGATATATCTATTTAAACAGCAAACAACAAATAGATCTATATCACAATATACTTCTATTACAGTTTAAAGTAAGCCTTAACAATGTGGCAACTTTTTCGCACATTACTAGCCTCGGCCGATTTTACGCACCTAAAATAAATAAATAAAATTATAGATCTAAATAAATAGTATTAAATACTAAATACTAAATAAATAGGTAGTAAATAGGCCCCTACATAACAATAAATTATAAATATTTTTTATTAGGCCTATTAGATAGATAACCTAAATAAAATTACATTGGTGAAGAAACTGCTGAGAAATGCTTCCATTGTTTACATTGCGTTTTCGTTAAATTATAAAATAATAAAGACTGTCGATACGCAACATCAACAAACGAAACTTTACTCCTCAATCCGATCATTGTTTGTTGGACTAGATCTAGATCTTCTTATTTAACCTTTTTTTTTGTTTCATCCGTGTATAATAACCGCTCAAGTTTTTTAAATGTTTTATGATTCAGAGTAGCCTCCCATTGAATTCCATTGTTGCCAGTGTAAACTATGATAATTTAACAGTTTCTAAACACTTTTATTAATTTATTTGCTTCAATTTTACATATTTTACCAATAAGTTGCGAGTTATGTCTAAAGCCAAAGTAATTATGGTTGGACCAACTGCGGTAATATTTTAATAACTTATAGATCTATTTAAAATTTTACGACTCAATATGGATATCATGATGAGATCATGTCAATAATTTTAAATAATAAATAAATTATTAAATAGGGCCTATCAATTTATCATCAAACTCAAACATTTAAGAATTTATTTCAAAATTCATCATTTAGTTAGGGGTTAGGCCTTAGGCCTATTGAATTTTAATTAATAATTAATTTAATAATTATTGGACTACGTTGATTGATAGTATTTTGTACTCAGTACTGTACTAGATTAGATCTAGATCTACTAGACATAACTATTTTAGTATTTTATTAGGCCTACTAATTAATAATTAATTAATGTCTTTTTTAGTTTTAATGACCTAGATCTAGCTAGTTACTAATACTTAGTAATACTTAATCTAAGACACTATGGTTAGATCAGAGTTTCTAAAGTTAGTAATAGTTTTAGATTTTAGGTTATAAAATAGATAGATCTAGATCTAGTAATCGTAATTAATAGACCTATATTATATTTATATATATTTATATAATAAATATGAGACTTTATTTTCATATGTTGCTAACTCTTACTGGTGACTAATTAGGGCCTACTAATTATAATTAATTATATTAACGAAGTGTCTATTCACAGCCGGCTGCGAATAGCCGTATTGGGGCTATTCACAGTCGTGACTGTTTTTGATAGATTTAAATTTTAATGTTAAAAATATCAAATTGAGCATGAAGATGTGTGGTCGAGTGGTCATAGGGAGAGGCTGTCATGCCAGAAGGTGGGTGTTCAAATCCATCAGATGCCAATTGGTCTGACCCTTAATGTATGCCTCTTATTGTTATTATCAAAATATTTTTTTTACAATTATGTCTAGATTCTACTTCAGTTACTCATGGGAGGGTTATTTTTGTTAATTTTTTTTCGTTTGTGACGTAATTGTTGGCATTTCAGCAAAAAAAAAAGACCTGTCCCGTAGATTTTTGCTAAGAGAAAAAACAAAAGTGTGATGGAAACTGAATAATAGCTGATGAAAAGGACATCCTATTTCACCTGATATTTATTCTAGATCTATGTGATAATGTGAATTTTTAATGGTAATTGATAGTTGAATAGCAATGTGAACAACCAAATAAACTAATGCTTAATTAGTATTATTCATTTAAAAATTACTAGATCTATTATTCTAGTGTATAGATTTAAAGTGTAAAATTGATCATCTAATCATCCTTGACCTACGTAGCTTGTAGCAGATATGTCTGATATGAGCCTAAATAAAAGTTAATCTATACCTCATTCCCCAGTCACAATAAATGCTTTTATTATTTTAAGATATTATTCAGTCGTATTTAGTATGAAATGACAGCCGACTGTGAATAGCCGTATTGGGGCTATTCACAGTCGGCTGGGAATAGCCCCAATACGGCTATTCCCAACCGGCTGGGAATAGCCATGGCCTTATATTAATATCCTACTAAGTCCTATAGCAAACTAAGTTAAATCCTAACAAATCTTAAGAGCAGCAGAGGGGGGGGGGGGGGAACAGTATCCATGGTTACGATATTGTCCTGATATTTTTGTAGAAAACAGTTTTGACTTTAAACATTTATAACAATAACTGTTTATAATATTTAGAATATAGTGTATCACAAGTATGATATATTACATCTTATATTTTTGACAGTCTGGAAAAACATTTTTAAGCAATTTTCTAGCAGACGCAACAGAATTCTCAGGTGGAGAATACCACCCTACTCAAGGTGTCAGGTAGGTACTAAAACTAGTTTGCACATTCAATAACAAATTTCAGAATTTTTCTCTGTGCCTCACATATTAGTAGCATCATTTTATAATTACTTTTGTGGCCTTGCAATCAAGTAATAGAGCTCATGCATGTTTTTGCAAGTTTTATTGCTCATTTTGTCTAAATGGTACCAGATGTATGATGGGGAAATGTAAAACTTGAGCAGATTCATTTTAAAATTACAATTAGCATGACTGTTTTTAATAGAATTCTTGAGTTTAAAATAACAATTATCATGACTGTTTATTTTAGAATTCATGAGTTTAAAATAACAATTAGCATGACTATTTATTTTAGAATTCTTGAGTTTAAAATAACAATTAGCATGACTGTTTATTTTAGAATTCTTGAGTTTAATAACAATGAGCATGACTATTTATTTTAGAATTCTTGAGTTTAAAATAACAATTAGCATGACTGTTTATTTTAGAATTCTTGAGTTTAATAACAATGAGCATGACTATTTATTTTAGAATTCTTGAGTTTAAAATAACAATTAGCATGACTGTTTTTAATAGAATTCTGGAGTTTAAAATAACTATTAGCATGACTGTTTATTTTAGAATTCTTGTGTTTAAAATAACAATAACCATGACTGTTTTTAATAGAATTCTGGAGTTTAAAATAACAATGAGCATGACTGTTTATTTTAGAATTCTTGAGTTTAAAATAACAATTATCATGACTGTTTATTTTAGAATTCTTGAGTTTGAAACTGGAGCTGCTGATACAGGACGTGGTGGGATAGATGTGGAACTATGGGACTGTAGTGGTGACAAAAAGTAAGGATGGTCTTTGTAAACAAATATCAGTTAAACTTTTTGTAAACAAATACCAGTACAGTGTTTTTAAACATTTCATCCTCTCCACACCTTTAACCATCCCTGTACATTTTTAATGACTGAATAGAGTTTTACTTTTACTCAAATATATTTTTTAAAATGCTTTCTGAAAAACGGCCTTCCCCCTCCACCCCTATCATTCATTCACAAGCTTGTCTAAAATTTACATAATTTAAAATGTGTTTGTCAAATTTAACTTGAGACTAATAAAATGTATTTTGTGAGCAGGTTTAACTTGAGGCTAATAAAATGTATTTTGTGAGCAGGTTTGAACCTTGTAACTTGAGACTAATAAAATGTATTTTGTGAGCAGGTTTGAACCTTGTTGTAACTTGAGACTAATAAAATGTATTTTGTGAGCAGGTTTGAACCTTGTTGTAACTTGAGACTAATAAAATGTATTTTGTGAGCAGGTTTAACTTGAGACTAATAGAATGTATTTTGTGAGCAGGTTTAACTTGAGACTAATAAAATTTATTTTGTGAGCAGGTTTGAACCTTGCTGTAACTTGAGACTAATAAAATGTATTTTGTGAGCAGGTTTAACTTGAGACTAATAAAATGTATTTTGTGAGCAGGTTTGAACCTTGTAACTTGAGACTAATAAAATGTATTTTGTGAGCAGGTTTGAACCTTGCTGGCCAGCAATGGTGAGAGATGCCTCTGGTGCTATTTTTGTATTCAACCCCGACCACCCAAATCATGATAAAGAGCTGGATATCTGGTAATAAATACATTTGAACACTAACATTTGCTCTATTATTGGAAGATTAAAGGCAGATGCTTTCAGAGCATCAATTACTTCCTTTTGAAAAAATATAATTATTTCTACTTATATGGAAGTATACTCTATACCTCTGTACCATACATATTCACAATATAAATTATATACAAAATATGCATTGGTCCTTATAATAATATCACTTATTTATCCATCATTATAATATTTTAATTATAGAAATAAATGCTGAGACATACGGTAATAAGGATGCAAATAAAGTCATGGTGACCTGCATTTAACCTCCATATTAATTCAATGTCATCATGACATTTTTTATCTCCATATGCAATAAATTTCTTTATGACATGTTAACAGCATTCAGGAGTAGATAATAACTTTGTAACTTTAAAGATAAAATATCTATGCAAAGGATTGCTCAGATGAAACAATTGATTGGGAATTATATGTTTTCTGTGTCCTTTAAAAATGTCAATATATTTCCAATGTCTTTATAAATTTGAGCTTTGAAACTACTATATTTGATTGTAATTTACCATAGGTATAACTTTATAATTGGGAACCAGCATCTCAAAGAGTCTCAGTGTTATGTATTTGCTCACCATAAGCCCAACACAGCAGGGGAATCATCAGAACCATGTGAGTTCAATAGTTTCAATAAGGTGTCCATATCAAATTGATGAATTTTTATCCATGTGTGATGTACATAAATAAAAACATGTAAAAAGCGGAGGTTAAAGATTAGTGGTGCAAAGATTGCTGGCTCATAATGAAAACTTGGTTGAATAATTTTATTAAAAATATTTATTATTCTATTTATTTTTAAAGTATTGGTTGCTACAAAAACAGCAAACAAAAATTAAATAAATGTTTGCAAAATTTTACATTCATCTTAAACTTATGAAATACAATCCAGAAAACTTGCTTGATAGTTTTAAAAATAATTTGTGTATCTGAAATTCAAATAACCAGAAGTAAATAAAGAATTATTGTGTATAATAATTAGATTTTAGAAATCACAGTTTCAATCTACAAGTTTATTTTTTCCTTTTAGAAATTTTTGTTTTGTAAATAGAGCATCATGAGTAAGGTTTCTGCTAGCCTTCTTTGGTCATGTAAAAGTAAAGTAAGTAAGGTTCTCTTTCAAACCTGATGGTCTAAGGTTCACTTGTTTCTGTGACCTCTGCATTTAGAGGGATAGTGTGGTCAGCACTATTCCCAGCTGCCTTTACTTTCCCTAATGTGAGTTGAGTACCCATCAGAGCTGGGTGGACTCAGGGACGGTCTTGTGACTTGAACCTAGATTTGAACCCAAGACTTACGGGTTAGCGATTCAGCTCTCTACCGCTAGGTCACTCCGTCCCATCTTTGGTCATGGACTTCCTGATAAAATACTGTAATATTTTGAAGTTATCTTACCTACAGCTGCTAAAATGCCCAGTTTTGCTCTAAAAATTTTCCTTGCTTCAGTACAATAACACTTTATTTTCTTTCTAAACACCCTGCTTACTTTTATTTTTATTTTCAAAATGTTGTAATGATAGAAGTTAAGATAAGCCATTTTTAGAAATTATAAGGTCAGGTGATATTTTTTAAATGTATTTCAGTAAACTAAAACAAAATAGCTCTTATCTTTGCTGTCTCTTTCTCTGTGAATTAACACCTGCACGCTCAAGCACTTACACTAAAGTGCAGATCCACATTTTTAAAAATCTCTCTGCTCTTGTTATTTGAATATCAACAAAGAGCAAGCAAGGAATCATGTAGCTTGTTGTAGCGTACATTGGTTTTGTTCATTCCTCAGCCTAGAGCTGAAATTTCTACAAATTAAAGTTATTTGCCCCGCCTATCATAAACCAACACCTAACATCATTTATCCCTGCATATCTTACAGCTAAAATTATTTGTCCATGTTTCTCATACAGCCAACAGCTAAAATTATGTATCCCTGTCTATCCTACAACTAAAATGTTGTATCTGTCTATCCTACAGCTAAAATGTTGTATCTATCTATCCTACAGCTAAAATGTTGTATCCCTGTCTATCCTACAGCTAAAATGTTGTATCTGTCTATCCTCCAGCTAAAATGTTGTATCTGTCTATCCAACAGCTGAAATGTTGTATCTGTCCTACAGCTAAAATGTTGTATCTGTCTATCCTACAACTAAAATGTTGTATCTGTCCTACAACTAAAATGTTGTATCTGTCTGTCCTACAGCTAAAATGTTGTATCTGTCCTACAACTAAAATGTTGTATCTGTCTGTCCTACAACTAAAATGTTGTATCTGTCTGTCCTACAGCTAAAATGTTGTATCTGTCTATCCTACAGCTAAAATGTTGTATCTGTCCTACAACAAAAATGTTGTATCTGTCTATCCTACAACTAAAATGTTGTATCTGTCCTACAACTAAAATGTTGTATCCCTGTCTGTCCTACAACTAAAATGTTGTATCTGTCTGTCCAACAGCCAACAGCTTCAGTAAGATCCCCCTCCTCCACACCAGTCTAGACGAAGACGCGGAGGCTGTGAGACGAGAGTTCAGCAGATTTCTCTCATCACTTGTGAAAGCCATGTCTAGCAATAGAGAGCAAGAGGAACTAACTCTAATGAACCAATAAGCTCCCTTTAGTCAGACATTTTTTACTGTGATACTTTTTATACTGTTTTGTGTTGGATACATTTAATTTGTTTTTTTAAAACTAAATTTTCCATGGATATGGTGAAGCAGAAATATTGTTTTTTATTACAAATAGACACATAAGGTAAATACGTAATTGATTACAAAATCTTTTCCCTATATTTTAAATTCACATTTATTGGCATTACTTCTAAAGTTAGAACTTTGATATAAAATTGTGCTTTCCATAGCTGAATATGATCCTGCAATTTAAGAACTGTGCCATATATTAAATTTGGTTTAACATTGTTGAGATAAAACTACTTACAATACTAAGGTATATGAAGGTTCAGCACTACTTAATGTTGTATTATAAGTGTTTTATAGTTTCCTTATAGTCATGCAAGAGTTTTGAAACATGGCAGCTCAAAATATCAGAAATTTATTAAAGTTGATTTGAATTTTTAAAAATTGTGTTGTTTTTTTTAAACGGCCATATCAGTATGGGAAGTTAACAAATCTTCTGGATCTGTCATGTAGCCATGATCTGTTATGTACAACAAAGACGTAGCGACCCCTCCCGGCGCCTGTGGACAAAGTTTCAATTTGGCGCCCCCCTCCCCCCCATATATTTTTCATATTTATTATTCAAAACTGCAGCTAAAATGAGCTTTTAATTTTTTTTCAACCCATTTTGGTTCCCCTAGGGTCGGCGCCCGGGGTCATACGTACCCCCCCTCCATTGCTACGCCTCTGATGTACAAAACATCTAGTTCCCCTGTACCCTAAGACCACCACTGTTTGTTGTCAAGTTTTTCTGTTGTCCCAGATTTGTGAGAAATGGTGGAGCTAGCAGGGTAGACAATCTTGCTAAACATTGAACAGATAACAAAAGTAAACAGGCTACACTGGTTTAGCCTGGGTGATCATATACAATACTTGACAGGTGAGGTAGTACTTGCCTCGTTGGTTAGGTAATATATAAACTGTGTCGGCGTTGTCGTCCCCCCCCCCCCCCCCCCCCACACACAGTCATACTTTAAGGGAGTCTAGAAACATTTTTCTAATCAGAAATGGCATATGTTGACCCATTCAAATGTAATTAAAGTTTAATCTGTATATTTTAATTAAACAACGTACGCCACCTTTAATTAAATTATTCATTTGACGTGATAGGTCTATCTGACGCAGGAAAAACAGAACTTAAAATTATTCCTGCTTGATATGGTAACTATGCAATCTTTGTTAAGCTTTCAACTTACAACTTTAACTAGTTGCCCAGTCCATACCACACACGTAACGACATCCACACATACATCTAGAATTTTCTAACACATTTATTTCAGATGCGGATCATTCAAAGGTTGAATAATGTAGCTTATATTTTAGGGCAACGCGTAAATTACAATAGCCTCAGTCTAGAAGTAAACCGACTGAGCAGATGTTACAAATGGCACGAAATGGAAATTTTGACCTGGCAACTTTGCTTGCAGCAAACCACGAGAATTCTCTGGATTAAAAAACTTGCTCAGTTCTTCACTGGGTCGGGTGTCACACACGGGAACAGGGCATCCCCCCCCCCCGATATTACCTCCCAGGAGTAATCAACCCCCTGTCAATTACCCCCCGCCCAGTAGGACATTACCCCCGGACAGGGTTAGGTAATAGCTATGGTTAGTGTTAAGCTTAAACCAATGCCTAGCGTTGGTTTTGGTTTTGTGTTAAGTTATAGGCTGAGTTGGATGCTTATGTTTTGGTATTTTTCTTATTTCGTTTCATATGTGCATATTTTGTTTTACGTGAAATCGTCACGCCTAGAGAATTGAAAGCTGCCTTATCTTCACGGCTTCGGTCGAAGGTCTGTTAGGCAGAATCTAGGTCTAGGCTGAACTAAAACCATGACTTGCTGCATTCTCTGCTATAGGCCCTACTCACTAGATTTTGTCATTTAGTTTGTTGTTTTGTGTGTGTCACAGTTAGCCAGATGTGTTATCATGGTTTGGGTTTAATAATGTGTTCACAAAATAATGTGTATTGTGTGCTTTTATCGCCACTACGTGAACTAGAACACTTAATATATAAATGGATAGGCCCTACAGTAACATAACACTTTAGATATAGATCCAAGTAAGAGCCACATGACAGCCCATGCAACAGCTACATGCCAACCCTTGTAACAGCTACATACCAACCCTTGTAACAGCTACATACCAACCCTTGTAACAGCTACATGCCAACCCTTGTAACAGCTACATACCAACCCTTGTAACAGCTACATGCCAACCCATGCAACAGCTACATGCCAACCCTTGTAACAGCTACATACCAACCCTTGCAACAGCTACATACCAACCCTTGCAACAGCTACATACCAACCCTTGTAACAGCTACATACCAACCCTTGTAACAGCTACATGCCAACCCATGTAACAGCTACATGCCAACCCATGTAACAGCTACATACCAACCCTTGTAACAGCTACATGCCAACCCTTGCAACAGCTACATGCCAACCCATGCAACAGCTACATGCCAACCCATGCAACAGCTACATGCCAACCCTTGTAACAGCTACATGCCAACCCATGCAACAGCTACATGCCAACCCATGCAACAGCTACATGCCAACCCATGCAACAGCTACATGCCAACCCATGCAACAGCTACATGCCAACCCTTGCAACAGCTACATGCCAACCCATGCAACAGCTACATGCCAACCCATGCAACAGCTACATGCCAACCCTTGCAACAGCTACATGCCAACCCATGCAACAGCTACATGCCAACCCATGCAACAGCTACATGCCAACCCTAACAACAGCTACATGCCAACCCTAACAACAGCTGCATACCAACCCATGCAACAGCTACATACCAACCCTTGTAACAGCTACATGCCAACCCTTGCAACAGCTACATGCCAACCCTTGCAACAGCTACATGCCAACCCATGCAACAGCTACATGCCAACCCTTGTAACAGCTACATGCCAACCCTAACAACAGCTACATGCCAACCCTTGCAACAGCTACATGCCAACCCATGCAACAGCTACATGCCAACCCATGCAACAGCTACATGCCAACCCTAACAACAGCTACATGCCAACCCTAACAACAGCTGCATACCAACCCATGCAACAGCTACATACCAACCCTTGTAACAGCTACATGCCAACCCTTGCAACAGCTACATGCCAACCCATGCAACAGCTACATGCCAACCCTAACAACAGCTACATACCAACCCATGTAACAGCTACATGCCAACCCTTGCAACAGCTACATACCAACCCTTGTAACAGCTACATACCAACCCATGTAACAGCTACATGCAAACCCTTGCAACAGCTACATACCAACCCTTGTAAGAACTACATGGTAACTCATGTAAGAACTACATACCAACCCATGTAACAGCTACATGCCAACCCTTGCAATAGCTACATACCAACCCTTGTAACAGCTACATACCAACCCATGTAACAGCTACATGCCAACCCTTGCAACAGCTACATACCAACCCTTGTAACAGCTACATACCAACCCATGTAACAGCTACATGCCAACCCTTGCAACAGCTACATACCAACCCTTGTAACAGCTACATACCAACCCTTGTAACAGCTACATACCAACCCATGTAACAGCTACATGCAAACCCTTGCAACAGCTACATGCCAACCCTTGCAACAGCTACATACCAACCCTTGTAACAGCTACATACCAACCCATGCAACAGCTACATGCCAACCCATGTAACAGCTACATACCAACCCATGTAACAGCTACATGCCAACCCATGCAACAGCTACATACCAACCCTTGTAACAGCTACATACCAACCCATGCAACAGCTACATGCCAACCCTTGTAACAGCTACATACCAACCCATGCAACAGCTACATGCCAACCCATGTAACAGCTACATACCAACCCATGTAACAGCTACATGCCAACCCATGCAACAGCTACATGCCAACCCTAACAACAGCTACATGCCAACCCTAACAACAGCTACATGCCAACCTTTGCAACAGCTACATGCCAACCCTAACAACAGCTACATGCCAACCCATGCAACAGCTACATGCCAACCCTAACAACAGCTACATGCCAACCCTAACAACAGCTACATGCCAACCTTTGCAACAGCTACATGCCAACCCTTGTAACAGCTACATACCAACCCTTGCAACAGCTACATGCCAACCCTTGTAACAGGTACATACCAACCCATGTAACAGCTACATACCAACCCATGCAACAGCTACATACCAACCCTTGTAACAGCTACATGCCAACCCTTGTAACAGCTACATGCCAACCCTTGTAACAGCTACATGCCAACCCATGCAACAGCTACATGCCAACCCTTGTAACAGCTACATGCCAACCCTTGTAACAGCTACATGCCAACCCTTGTAACAGCTACATACCAACCCATGCAACAGCTACATACCAACCCTTGTAACAGCTACATGCCAACCCTTGTAACAGCTACATGCCAACCCTTGTAACAGCTACATGCCAACCCATGCAACAGCTACATGCCAACCCTTGTAACAGCTACATGCCAACCCATGCAACAGCTACATGCCAACCCTTGTAACAGCTACATGCCAACCCTTGTAACAGCTACATGCCAACCCATGCAACAGCTACATGCCAACCCTTGTAACAGCTACATGCCAACCCATGCAACAGCTACATGCCAACCCTTGTAACAGCTACATGCCAACCCTTGTAACAGCTACATGCCAACCCTTGTAACAGCTACATGCCAACCCATGCAACAGCTACATGCCAACCCTAACAACAGCTACATACCAACCCATGTAACAGCTACATGCCAACCCTTGCAACAGCTACATACCAACCCTTGTAACAGCTACATACCAACCCATGTAACAGCTACATGCAAACCCTTGCAACAGCTACATACCAACCCTTGTAACAGCTACATACCAACCCATGTAACAGCTACATGCCAACCCTTGCAACAGCTACATACCAACCCTTGTAAGAACTACATGGTAACTCATGTAAGAACTACATACCAACCCATGTAACAGCTACATGCCAACCCTTGCAACAGCTACATACCAACCCTTGTAACAGCTACATACCAACCCATGTAACAGCTACATGCCAACCCTTGCAACAGCTACATACCAACCCTTGTAACAGCTACATACCAACCCATGTAACAGCTACATGCCAACCCTTGCAACAGCTACATACCAACCCTTGTAACAGCTACATACCAACCCTTGTAACAGCTACATACCAACCCATGTAACAGCTACATGCAAACCCTTGCAACAGGTACATGCCAACCCTTGCAACAGCTACATACCAACCCTTGTAACAGCTACATACCAACCCATGCAACAGCTACATGCCAACCCATGTAACAGCTACATACCAACCCATGTAACAGCTACATGCCAACC